CGAAGATTTCATACATTTCATGATCGAATATCTTCACATACTGCTTCAACATGATTTTATTTTAATTCTTCAATATAAATATAACCATGATCATTTTCTTTTACAACAACTGACTTGATTTGAAATGCCTTTTTTTAAGGAAAATAAAATAAAATAAATAATTCTTTGCAATTTGTTACTTTTTCATTATTTTCTAAAGCAAGATTTCAAAGATTTGGTGATTTAACATTAGTTGATAAACTTTGTTAATTTATTTAATCGGGGATTTTATCTTCTTCTTCATGTTCATCATATTCACGACGTCCTTCTCTTGGATCATAAAATTCTTTTAAATATTTTTTCATTTCAATTGCATCCAGAGCTCATTTTCATATATAGCGTGTGTGAAATGTTGTTTGATATTAGATGAAACCTTTCGTCTATTCTAAAGCTATAGCTCATGAATAAAATGTATATTTCTTTAATCTTATTAGAGTAAAAGAAAGAATCAAGTCTTTAGTAACACCAAGGATAAATAAAACTTGACTCAGCTCAAAAAGATTTCTTTTGAACCATTCATAAGTATCTTGAAAACGATGCATAGAAACTGAATCTTTTGTTTTTTTTTCCTCTAGTTTAAAGTCATCTTATATCATTCATGTATGAACATATATTCTCGGCATTCTTTTTTTTTATTCTGATCATATTGCGACATATGTCCATCATAAGATACAACTAAATGAATCTAACAAATGTGTATTCTATTTTTATTGAGAGAAACTAAAGTAGCATTGGTATTTTCTAGATAATGAAGTAAAATGAATGATAATCTCGAAGATAAAAAGAAAACACACTCTAAACTAAAATGTGTCGCATATATGTGTCCCAGGCTGTGTGTCGACTATCGATTCACTCTTTTGCTTTGCGTTAAAGGCCCTATATAGAGAACTCGATTGAACATGCGAAAGTTATATATTTTCATTTAAATTATTTCCTCGGAACGAACAATCCGATAGCTGGATTCAACCGGATTCGATCGACTCCTGAAATTCCTATCGAATTCAGTTGTTGGATTTAGTCGAATGTTCACCGGATTCCAACACTAGAGATCCGTTAGTAGTTCCTCAACCTGGAATCCCATGGGACTTTGTCGGCAAGTCGAGTTTTATTAGATCCGATTGGATTCATTCACCTGGGTTCTCGATTAATAATTAGCCGAGAGAACGCCCACCTTGGTCATTGATCGAGGTGGGACTACCCGAAAATGACCTGGTAAAAACCGGACCGATTCGAGAGCGGACACATTTCAAGATCTGACCTGCTTGAGTTTTCAGAAATTAAACTGTTCAAATAGACCAAAGTAGAAAAAATTCTGGCTAGTGAGTTTAAAAAAAACGATTTCAGAATATGTCGCATGTGTCGTATGTTGTGTCACAAATCACGACACATGCGACACATTTTAACTTAGTGTGAACCGCAGTTAATGTTTAGTCTCTTTCATATAAATTCACTAAGCTCTTGCTTATGAGTAACTGTTTTGAAGATGGTAAATTCGATATACTTGATAGACTCCCATTTGAACATGAATTATTCATATTCAATTCTTAACCACAAGAACATACGCAACATCTTACGTTATAGGAATGCACACATTGACTATGTCACATAGTTTCTTTCTGACTGAAACATTCGGTTACTTTGATTGACAATTCTTAAAATTGAATCAACTAGTTTTTTTTAACTGTAATCGTCTTAAATATCTCGAATGTTGAAAATAAAACTTTTTGCTCCATTAACTTTTAGAAAGACAATCAACGACAACTGTAGAGTTTGCTCTATATTAACAAAATCGGTATTCTATGGACTGCTGGACTTAACTTGAGTTTACTTCCTACTACCACTATACTACCCTGGCCAGCTTAGCATCTATCTCTTCGTTTTACTCTGTAAGTCATAAACCAGTAGGTCATTTATGACTTGAAAAGAAAATCTGATTGATTCATACATATGATGGAGACAAAAGTTGAGCGACATCTTTGAATACTCACATTGAGCCTCTGATATTATTGAAAACAATGGAAGATATGAGATGGCGTATGCATTCAATTGCATGGGATCATTTTTTTCGAGTGAATGATTTTGTTCAATTAGAAAACTCAATAGCTCTCACCATTTTTCTATTTTGCAATACTCTCAATTTCAAGGTTCACATGAATGATTTTTAGATATGACTGAAGATAATATTCAATTACCAGATTATCTTTGTTTTAAACCATCCAAAGTTAAAATTGGACAGAATGGTATGCCTAAAAAATTCTATTGAAAGAAGATAGTTGCATTTTTCTTTAGGTCTATTTGCTACACGAACTTTAAAACCTAATGAACCCTTAGGAGTGTATCGTGGAAAAATTCGTCGTATTTTACCTCAAACAGCTGATGAAGAATATGTTTGGGCTGTAAGTTTAGTTTTATTGTTCGACATGTTTTCATTATTTTCTTCTAGATTTTAAGTTCTCGTGGTGTCACCGTGTTTTATATAGATGCAAGTAATCCCAATGATGGAAATTTTCTTCGTTTTATACGATGGACACATGATAAATCACAACAAAATATTGTTTGTATGCAACAAAATCAACAGATTCATTATTTTTCATTACGAGTAAATTGAATAAATACTTTGTTTTTTTTTATACACAAATGATTTTTTTTTCTCCAGACAATCCATCCCGATGAAGAATTATTAACATTTATTGAACAACAAAAATCAAAAAAGAAAGGTATTTGAATAGTAAAATAAAGATAAAATATCTTTTTTTCCTGAATTAGATAAAAGAGAAAATGGTCGAACACGTCGTGAAACTCGACAACAACAATCAACTGAACATCAAGATAATCCTGCAATAAAAATTTTCGAACAAGATCCTGGCAATGAATTTATCGATGATGATAATGTACATTTAGTTATGAATAATCGTTCATTAGAATTTGAATTACAAATAACAAAAAAATTTCTCTCCGAAACATTTATTAGCGATGGAGTTAAACAGACATGTCTCAAATGTGATATTTGCCATCAAAGTAATATACTTTTATTTTCTTCTCTGGTTCTAATCTCTGTTTTTTTATTTCATAATAATAGTTTTCATGTCAAATGTTGCATTTAAAGTAAGCTAATCTTTTTTTTTCGAAAATCAGATTTTCACTGTTTCTGTCTCTAGTTTCATTATCATACATATCATATCACACCACAATATTTATCTCCAGCAAATCGTCCACGTACAAAAGTACGTGATAGTTGTAATATATGTCGATACTCTTTTATTGCTAATGATGTAAAAAGTGTCGTTGTCGATTTACTCGAAGGTAAAAAATTCAATTTCAAACTAAATAAAAGAATTGTTTTTTCTTTTGAAGTTGTTGCGGGTGGTGAACGCTTACAAGAAAATCGTTATCTTCGTTTACATATCTATCGTTGCCATTGGTGTGCTCCTATAGATGCACATTATAATACAGCTAAACAATTATCTCAACATGTCCGTTCAAAACATTATCGTTTATTACAAGCACTACTTGCTACACAAGCAAATCGTCTTCAAAATAATTCCAATCAAACTCGTGGAAAACGATCTCGTGATAATGAACAAGATGAAAGTAAAACTTTTTTCTGCAAACAAAGAATCTCTTAATGGATTTTAGTATTTTAGATAATTTTAATTCCAATTTGTCATCATCAACATTACATCAAGAACGCAATCATCGCTCAACAAATTTTCTGCAAACAAATAATAATCATGACTCTTCACATCGTTTACCAATACCTATTGGTTTACCTGATCCTTTAACAGGTAGAAAGATTGTCTATTGAGCTGATTTAAATATTTTTTTTCGCACACATTTAGATCGTGATTGTCAACAATTATTTACTATTGGTGAACAAGTTGCATATAATGTTTCAAATTGTATTGATGGTACACTGGAAGATATACAACAAAATGAAACATTTTGTCGCCAACATATGGATGATGATAGTGAAACTACAAAATTAACATCGATTGAACATTTCCTAACACAATATCCACTTGTACGTGAATTATTAGGACCAAGACGTCGGCATGATACTGTTATACAACATTTATCTGATGATTATTTTGATCATCCGAAAAATCAAAATATTGATATGAGTAAATATTATCAACGACAAAAATCTATACCTGAACGACGTTTTATTATGAATCGATATTTATGTTTATTATGTACGGAACGTTTTTCATCGCCCATTGAACTGATTGAGCATGAGAAAAAAATTCATCAGAAAAAAGTTTCACAATACGATTGGGGATGGAATTCAATTGGATTTCTTCAATCAAATCCGTATGCTTTTATATTAGAATTAGAAAATGAATTAAAACAACAACAAGAACGAACAAAACATGAATCACAAAGTTTTTTAATGAATAATAATAATAGTTTAAGAAACAAAGTAGGTGCACGACGTCGTTCTACATCGTCAAACGATCGATCGCCAATAATTAAACAAGAAGGTAAACTAATTCAAGTCAATATTATCTAGAATAGTTGACGATTTCTTCTAGATATTAAACCACCACCACCACCACCGAGAACTTCTTCAAAGCGTATTAAACGAGAACTTCAACGATCAAATACATGTCCTGTTTTAGACAATAATTCACCGGAAAAAGATGAACCACAATCGGGTCAACGTAAATCGAAACGTTTACGAAAATCAAATATGATTTCTCCACCTCCATCGCCTAAACCTATTCCCGAAAAAGTTACTATAAAAAAAGAACAAATGAGTTCGCTCAAATCTTCAACAACAAAAGATACAACGAATCCAAATCAAATTATTGTTAAAACCGATAAACGTTATTATTGGTGTACAAAATGCTCAAAAGTCTATCTTAATTTAATATCACTCTATACCGAATCTCATTATCGTCAATGTGTTGGAGAAGATCAACATTTTAATGTTATACATGATCCATCATTTTTTAATGATGAAAAAATTCTTCAACAATTACCATCAAATATGAATAATCACAAAACATCATCAGATTCCAATGAAACATTGAATGATACCAATAAAAAAGAGTCCCTATTTTTTTCTAAAACAACAGACGATTCACGTACATATTTTATCAATGGAAAACCAATACGTATGAGTACAATCAATCGACCAATAACAGTTAAAGATCTTCGTCAACAATTTCAACAACAAACATCATTCACAACAAATAATCCTAGCGAAGAATATATCTATCATCAACGACAATCACCATCAAAAGCAACAAAAAGTCGTGCATCACGTTCGAATGAAAATAAAAATTGGTCAAATGAATCTACGGTTAAAGTTATTCCAACGCCACGTTCATTCGATACGTTTGGTATCAGTTCAGATGAAGAGGACGAAGAAAAAGATAGTAGTAAATCAAACATGAAACAAGAAAAACCAGAAATTGAAAAAACACTTGTGAAACGTCGGTATGATTCGGAATATACATCAATCGAACAAGACGATTTGGATACTCAGAAACAATTCACGTCAAAAAAAAGTCAACCTACATCGACTGGACGAGTAAGTATTTCGTAGAACAATGAGAGTCACCACTCATCATATTTATATTGCTGTAGTCTGTTAATGCTACAACTAGCCAATCACGATCATCTGTGCGAAATTCATGGAAACAAACTGATGATGTTGATCAATCGATGGAATGGTTAGAAATGTTTTTGCTTATGAATATAAAACTTGAACATATTTATTTTAGTGCAAAAACTTCATCGACATCAACCAATCGTACTCACATACCAGATGCATTACAAGATTATGATCATGTATGTGAAAAATGTAATATGCCATTCAGTAGTCAAACATCACTTGATGAACATCAAAATGGACAGTAAATATTTTTGTCTTTTTACTATCTTTCTATACTTCTTTTTTTGCATAGATGTTTAGAAATGAATGTTCTTGCATCGTGTGGTTCATGGTTTCGTTGTCCATTATGTTCGTTGACATATTGTGATGCTAATCTCATGTCATTACATATAAATAAGACACATCGTGATGTACTTAAAAATAATCAACGAGCTCATTCTCAACGTCGATCAAATACCAATCGTAATAATCTAACGATGTCAACATCACGATCTGAAAATCATCGTCGTAAATTTTCGTAGAATAAAATTGTAGTCGTGTTCATTTCTGTTTGCTTGTTCTTTGTCAGTTTCATTTCTTCTTCGATTGTTTCTTTTACGTCGTCGAAAATACATAAAAGTCATAAAAAAACTCATACCGTACTCTAGATTTTTATTGTTAAAAAGAAAAGGAAAAATTCTCGTTTATAGTTTAATTTCGTCGAATAATAATATTATGAAGAAAGAAGTTTTGTAGCAACTTCATCGATAACATTCCAAGAAGATTCAATATGCTTTTCTTCTGTTAACGATGAACACACAGCAAAACGTAAAATATATTTCTCTTTCACATTTGCTGATACAAGATAAATACGTTTATCATTATTTAATGCATCAAATAAACTTTTATTCAATTCATTTGAACCATCTTTTAATCGAAAACAGACAAGACCCAATTGTGGAGCAGGAAAAATAATTTCAAAACGTGCATCTTTACTAATTAATGAAATAAAATATTCAGCTAATTGAATATGCTTACGAATATATTTTCGTAATCCGTCTAAACCAAATGATCGAAAAACGAACCTAAAAAATAAAAATGATTTAGAGGAAACAAAATTTTCATCTAACTTACCAAAGTTTAAGTGATCGAAATCGTCGTCCAAGAGGAATTTGCCAATGTCGATAATCGGGTGCCGATGATTGATATTCATGTTGTAAATACAGTGGATCAACATTGAAAGCATCAATAAAATGTTTTCGATCTTTAAGATACATTGCTGAACAGTCAAAATTAACCAACATCCATTTGTGTGGATTGAAATTAAACGATTCAGCATATTCGATACCATTTAGCAAATGTCGATATTCAGGACAAATAAAAGCATTTCCAGCATAGGCTGCATCTATATGCATCCATATATGTTCTTTTTCGCATACACGTCCAACACTCATCAAATCATCAAAAGCACACTAAAATTATCATTAGAAAAAAAAACGAATCTTTCTGTTTTTCTGTTTTCTTCTGAATCTATATTTACTGTTGCAGTTGTACCGAGTGTAGCAACGATAAAGAATGGTATTAATCCCTTTTTTCGGTCTTCAGCAATGGCTGCTTCAAGTTGTTCGCCACGCATAACACAATCTGGACCAGAACTAATTTTACGCATTTGGCAACCAACAATTAGTGCACCTTTATCAACAGATGAATGAGCTTGATCAGAACAATAGACCACCAATTGATCGAGTAAACGACCCAGTGTTAATGTTGAATCTTCAGCTTTTTTCTCTGTAAAAATTCTTGAACGAGCTGCAAGTAATGCAACAATGGTTGCTTCGCTGGCCGTACCTATTTCATCCATGTAAATAAATTATTTTCACTTTTGCCTCTGTAAAAGTTACCTTGAATAATTCCACCACCATTGCCAGTAGAAAGAAAAAATTCTGGTAAATCCATTGCTTTTGCTAGCCAATCCATAACAATACCTTCGAGTTCTGTACACGCTGGTGATGCAATCCATGAAAATCCAATACAAGCAATACCACCGGATAGAATATCCGCACAAATAGCTGGGTAGGATGCAGCCGTTGGAAAATAAGCATGAAACCTTGGACTATGCCAATGCGTAACACCTACCATGATGGTTGATTCAAGATCATCAACAATCGATTGAAATGGTTCAGGTTGTTCAGGTGCTTCAGTAGGTAATAATTGGCGTAAATAGCCTGGCTTTACATTTGGAACAACAGGACGAGCTTCTAGCGAACGCCAATAGTCAGCAACAAATCCAAGCATCATTGCTCCACACGATACAAGAGCATCAGAATCCATTTTCTTTTTTGTCTACAACAAAATAAAAAGCTTTCAGATGTGACTTTTTTTATTTTATCAGAAAAAAAGAAATACGAATACCATTCCTTGATCGAACACAGAGAACAGCTAGGAAGAAAAAAAAATGCGAGGAAGGAAATGACTCCTACTATTGTCGCCGTTATATAGTGATTGATGAATAACAGTTATTTCTCTTTATGTTTTCTTCTATTGAACTCAATGTCAAATAATATTCATATGCAATCATGAGACGTCAAATCGGACGTCTCATTTAAAAGTCTAATAGATCGTACAGCAAGATCATTCAGTATGCAAACGTTTTCTGATGAAATTTTTCTTCGAGGGTTTCTTTCTAATTTAGTACTAATTAGCGCGCATGCGTAAAATTATATATGTTATCTTTGTATCATATTATTATTTTTTTTTTATTAGTTATAAATAATATTTTTAGTCTTTTAAATGTATTTACACGATCCGAATCAAGTCAATTTAAAGAAAAATGTGGCCATAGTGTTCTATTAAATAATAATTATTGGGTATTACAACAAACACGCCATGCACTAGAAGCTATCTATAAAAACGAACTAACATTTGCTGCTTTACCTTGGAATCGAATTTCAATGTCTATTCAACAAGTATACAATGCTTGTTTAATCGACGACATAAAATATTCTAGAGAACGAATGCACGTACGCAAAGCAACATTAAAAGCAGGTACCTTACTTGCTAAAAAAGTCAAAGATATCAGTTACCCACCACGCTGATAAACTTTAGCATGAGTTGATATCTTTTAAATAACTATTAAACGAAAGAGTACTTTAGTACAAAAAGGAAAAGATAATATAGTTACTCAGTTTTTATTCCATATATATATATATTAGATAAAAAATAATCATTGATATGTAGCTGGGAAGAAAAAAACGAGCTATTTTTTCTCATTGTTAGTCATCTTAAACAAGCTAGTAGATAGATAAGGATTATGAATGGCAAATATATTTTATTTTTATTATCAAATATTATTAAACTAAAAAAAGCTAAATAATGCAATAGTATATAAAATACTACTAATTGTTAACAATGAAGTTTGTTTTATTATTCTTTCTCCATGATTGCTTTCATCTGGGTCATGTGTTCTTTTACAAGCTAATCCTTTTGTATAACATTGTTCAAATTCACGAACAACACGTTTATCGTTGTCAACAAGTTGTCGCCGTTCTCGACTCATTCTAATATGCATTTGATTTACATGCAATGCTTGTGTAGCATTTACTGACGCAATAGCTAAACAGTCAAATAAGCATTCATCCGGAAATTCATTGTTGTTCGATGAACAAATGCGTTCACATTCGTTGGGCAATTGTGATTCTTCTAAAGATATATGGCGACGTTGACGTGTTGTGCCAACTATAGTTTTCCGTTGACTTTGTGCAAAACGTTCTTTTAAACGTGCAATGATAGCTTGCCGATCGATAATTTCATTTTGAGGACAACCTGTTATTAAATATCCATCGGAATTATTTAATAACAATTCCGATGAACGAACAACAAAAAAATAAAAATTTGCCCATCGATTAACTATGATTTGTGTCGATGTTGGAACATGAATCAAAGCGATATGACCTTCAGTCGCATGTTTTTCGCTATAATCAATTTTTATTATTGACGATGCTAACGAATCAAAATAGATTAATTCTAATGGCAATTTACCATTGGATACTTTATAATACGAAATTAAACTACCATTGGAATTAAAGAAATCAATTTGTAAAGATGTAATTGCAGTTGCTGTCAGGTCCGGATCGCCGACATACTTGGACACACCAGTTATTTTAAAATGAGGATTTGATAGATACGTGCGATTGTGTAATAATCTGCATGTGATCGGTTTGTTTGTATGAAGTTGAAGAATATGTGGATCACCTAAAACGAGCAATTCAATTCATCATATAGACTCCGTATGATAGTTATGTTGAAATTGGCTAATAGCAGCATGCAAGATATTGTAATTTCCTTTGGCAGCTAATAAATCATCAAGAGAAATTCGCACGATAATTGATCTACGTCTATGCTAGCTTTGTTTCGATGAAAGAAAACAAAAAAAAATAGATGAACAAATATAAATACCATGAATAGATGATGTCGCTCGTTTTGATTGTGCAAATCCTTCTACATTTTGACTTGGTAATTTTTGTTTGACAATTTTCATGATATTTAATGATGTTGATGTTGATTCATTATGCTTATCGGGTACCGCTAATAGTTCTTTGAAAACAAATACTTCTTTGGTTGCTGTTGGACAACTAGTTGGAATTGAATTGTAAATACATCGAAGAAAATCTTCTGACCATTTCGTGATTTCATTCAATGATGTTTTTGTTTGCAATATTGTATGAATGTTTTGTTTAAATATTGTTAAACATTCTTTATGTTTATTTAAAGTTGTTTTTGTTAAACAATTCAATAACGACCGATCAAATTGTTGTGAAAAATGATCTAAAAATATAAATTGAATTTTTTGTCATTGAACACAAAAATCAACAGAAAGTCGCTCAGACATACTTGACAGTTTATCTCCATCACAAAAAGGGATCAAATTTTGTAGATAATGATTATCATCATAGACTTTTTTATCATAATTAAAATATTCCAATGGTAATTGATAACTCTCAATTAAATTTAATATATGTCGATTGAAACCAGCTCTTATTCCATCACAATGCTTTAATTTTGTATCTAAACATCGTTTTATATCTTGGTATATACGACAATGCGCATTGTAAAATTGAACACTATCCATTGAATAATTTAAAAAGCCAGCTGATCCAGAATCAAAACAAATTTCTGGCAATGAATCTCGAACAAAATCAGTCAGTGATGGTGTATGACAATGACTATCGTCTGCTTGAAGAGAGATACTCATTGGTAAAAGCAAGAAAATAATTATCATTGAAAACCACATCGTTTTGAGGTACAGTACTTTGTATTACTGAGACATATTACTGACTCCTACTGATTATATGCGCATGTTTTTTTTTATTCAACCAAATATGGTGTTTTTTTCTTTTTCTCCTTTCGTCATGACGGCAAGAAAAGACAAATAGACAATCGATATAAGACCAAAATAAAGAAGACAACATAGACTTTTTTCTTGCTCTCTCTGTCTCGACATGATATTATTTTCTCTATTATGGTACATGTATGGTATAGAAAGGATTTTTGATTGATGCATTCCAAGAATTAATAACAAAACAGTCGATACGGAAGATTCAAAACCGAATGTTTTCTTCCTCTTTTTTTGTTTTTTAAATATTATTCAACGGAAATATGAGAACTATTTTTAATTTCTATTTTTCTCGACAAATATTACTTAGGTAATCAAGAAAGATAAACAATTTCTTCGTGTCACTTGCAAGCTTAAGGATATAATACATTCGTTTTTGACAACAACAATATTTTTCTGAATTGATATTCTATTATGAAATTGCTGTGTATTTAATCTGAAGAGATCAACAAAACAGTGCAATGAAGCAGCAGAATAAGAAACCCATAAAAACAAACTATTACATCCAAATTCTAGGAATAGTCAAGCTATTAGTCTTTGAAAGGATTGACAAATTGAAGCTGTCTTTTACTAATGTTTGATGGTATCGAGTATGGTGTAATCTGGATTCTGGGTAGAAAGTACACAGCGGTATAATATCGACCCATAGCGAGTATAATTATCCAGAAAAGATTATGTCGAAATACCGAATACGTATTCGAACTTTATTACTGGTAACATTTAGCTTGTTATGATTGGCTTAGCCATAGGTACAAGAAGTAATCAAATGTTATACTACGTATTGGCATGATTACAGCCTAGTGGAATCAAAACATGCATCTATAAGCTATTCAGAGAGCCATTGGTAATGAACTAGTTTTAGTTATAGAGATATTTTCATTTGATTGCCTTGCCAAAATGATGTACTTCATCGATAGAATAACGCACGTGAAAAAATTTACACATTAATACATGCAAATTTGATCACTCTTTACTATCTTCGAAAAACACGACACTATTCACCCAATGAAATTAATTGAACGCTTATCTAATTTTTTGTCCTTATTTCATAATATGATTAGCCTTGATTAATTAATATATTCATAGGAAATTAGTTAAAATACTTGTCACATATTTCTCGTCTTTAACGTTTTGTTTTTTGACACTGATTTCTTTGGCATATGATAGAATCGATGTAATCTTTTAATTAAATTTCTAAATGTGTCGCCCAGGTGCTTTTAAATCATGAGATTGTCTTTCTTTCCGCCAATGATTAAATATTGCCGATACAGTTCAAGAAAATTGAAAACTTTTATGATTTATGATGGATATCTAACTTGAATATAGTGTGACATATGTTATTAACTTTCAAAATATTTGACGAATAGCACATCGGACAGATGCGCAAAAATGAAAAGATTTGTCTTATGAGAGAGAACAAAATTGGATTGAAATTTATTGAAAATGTTATAAATAAAAAGAAAAAAAGATTGAAAAACAGAAAATGATTGCATGGGAATATTAAAACAAAACGTACAAACGTCGAATTCTAAGGAGCAAAAAAAACTAAGAAGAATAAGAGATATATTATTGTAAAAAGAAGAACAAATTTTATAAGAATAAAAAGAGAAAGAACGCTTTCTTTTTATTTCTATTTTTATTTAAAACCAATGAAGTAGGTAGAAATAGTAGCTGAAATATTAAAAACGAACAATAAAAAAAAGAGAAATAAAACAATAAATAAGGTTAAACGCGTGCCTTATTTTTTTTTTGCCTTCTTAGAGCAATATATTTGTCTCTACATTGACGGAACAAACAATAGAACATTAAATATCCTCGACTTCCATTCTCGCGGTCAATTGAATGATGACTATTGTATTTAGTCATCATATGAACGGGTTGGTTGTCTACAATTGAAAGAAAAAAAATTATTCAATAAGTTTGATAGATATTAAATCTGCGATGGCAGGTGTAAAATGCATTTTATTTTATTTACCGACTTTCGATGAGTATTATCATATATTGAATGACGTGAAATAGATGGCGAATTAGAATAGATAGATTCAGATGATGAACTACTGCTACTATGACTTTGTCGACTTGATGAACAATATCGATTATTATTATTATTATTATTGGTATTTAGTTGTTGATGATTCAAACGTGGTTGATTACTATTATTATCTTCTGGAATATATTTTACTTTCATTGGAGTTGCTGATGATTTACCACGAGTTACATAAAAACGTTCAAATGCATCAAGAATTTTTTCTGCTGAACGACTTTGTTCTAGTTGTTGGCGACGTTCATCATTATCAACATCATCATCATCATCATCATCATCATCATCTTCTTCTTCTTCTTCTTCTTCATCATCATCATCATCAGCGTCAGCATCATCATTGTCATCGTTACCAAATAATTCATTGTTATTTGATTGATTATAATTTTGATTGGCCATATTACGTTGATTAGGATTAATAATTTGTTGTTGTTGTTGATATGGATCGCCTTGGTAAACAACATTACCAGTACCTGGTGGTAAACGTGGTCTTGGACCTAGATTTTGTTGTCCTTGTGGTGGTAGAACGCCTGGCTGATAAATGTATTGTTGTTGCTGATTGGGTAATTGTGATCGTCCTATTTGTGGTGCAGGCGGAGGTGGTGGAGGTCCACTTACATGCTGTTGAGCTGAACCACCAACAAATCCTTGACGATTATTAAGATGAGCTACAGCTGCATGTGCTAATTGTGCAGCAGTTTCTTCACGCGTAGGTTTTGCTGGTAAAGATTTTATTTCGGTTTCAGTAGTTGTTCGATTAGTATGTAATTGTGAGCTTCAAGCGAAAAAAAAAAGTATTTTTTTTAAGTCAAGAATTTATTTCGAAATACTTACACTTCACGTGTATCATTTGTTCGTTGATCTTGACCTATTATATTTTCTGTTGAATGCATGATTCCGGTTGAATCTTGTTCAACGTTTTGTTGTTCATGGTGTGAACTATGATTACTACTTGTACGATTTCGATGTTTTTTCGATGGTGTATCACGAATTGCTTCGCCTGTTGCATTATTCAATTCAACAATGACTGGTGTTTGTCTTGGTGAGCCAGTAGTATCACGTTTTGATCGTCGATGAGAACGACTTTCTTCATCTTTTTCTCCTCCGGCTTCTTTTTTATTTAATTTCGCCTTATGAAGTTTTCGTTGTAGTTTTTGTAGTTCACCTTCTAATGAACGAATACGATGTAGTAAATGTTGAACTTCTCGTTCATTGGATCCACTAGCAGCACCTTGGCTTGACCATGGTTGTAAAGCAGTATAGGGTCCAGAACCAGGATTAGAACCATAATAATTGGGTTGAATAGCTGGAGGGCCATATGATGGATATGGATTAAACGGTGGACGAACACCACCGAATGGTTGTTGAGGATAGCCTGGTGTTGGACCAAATGGATACGATTGTTGTTGTTGATGTTGTTGTACTGGTGGTGGAGCTTGATTTTTATGATCATCTTCATGAGGAAATAATTGTTGTTTAACTTCAGGTGGTAAACGTGTTGAACGTTTTGCTTGTTTACGAGAAATATCACCACGTCGAATCGATTCTTCATAAGCTTGTGTATAACCAGCATAGAGCGGTTGACGATGTACCTACAGATTTAAAATGATGTTTTTTTTTAATCTCTTTTCCTTATCACAATATTATATAATTAAATTAATGATTCACCTTCAATTGTGGAGGTAATTCATTATGATATTCTCCAAAGTGCGTTGGCTGTTGAGAATATTGTTGTGGTTGATAGGGTTGTTGAAAAAGATTGTTTGGATTATTGTCAAGAGTAGTACCCTCTGGTAATTGTGCTGCATTATAATTATCGTGATGATCACGACGATGATGTTTCTTCTTTTTTGAACTTGATTTTTGTTTTACATTTTCGACATTTGCTTGTGCTTCTTCTGATCTAGCTACTCCTCCTTGTATGACATCGTCATTGGTGCTTTCAACTGTTTGATGCTCATGGTCACTAGTTCCTTCTTGGGTCGGATGGTTGAGTGGAGCAGGTGATTGAGTGCGACTACGAACTTGTTTTTCTTCTGCTTGTTCGCGATGTTCTTCTCCGTGATCAGAATATAAAGCTTGTTCAGCAGCACCGATCGGTGATACACTTCGTCGTTTATGATGTTTTTTACCTAGGATATTCAATTAAAAAGATCACTTTTCTTTCTTTAATAAAATCATACTTTTAGATCCATGACTACTACGTTGTTCGTAATGTTGAGATGGAGCTGGTGGTGGATGCTGACTATGTTTATGACGTCGAGATGATGATGAAGGTGGTGGCCCTGGTGTATAAGGACCTGTTGGTGGTGGATAGGGTCTACCAGCTGCTGGTAATGATTGACCACGTATTGATGCTGCTTGTTGATAATCCTGTTGTATTTGTTGAAAATTCGGCACCATTTGTGGAGTAAATCCAGTAACACCACCATACTGTGAACGATAGAGTGATCCCGGTAGTTGTTGGCCTGGAAATGGAAAGGCTATATTAGCTTGATTGAATGCGCCTGGTGGAAACATTGTATTAATAGAAAAGCAAAACCTCAAAAATTTTTAATCTAAAAAATAGACAATGTAATTTAACCTCGCTGAATCAATTAAAAGATAGTATCAGACCAAAAGAAGTTACCAAAAACCAGATACAATAATACCTTAGGCCATAAAAATAAATAGTGTTGCATGGTTACATTTTTGTAACTCTCTTGTTTTACTTCACGCAAATTTTCTATTTTATAAATTGAAAAAGATGCTTCTCTCTAATGAACGCATGAATATCTTTTCGCGGTATTCTATGGTTATCGCTCTATATTGATTGCAAAAGAAATACACCTCTTTATAAATGTATCTTCTCTGATTGAAACCTTGAATACTGTCACAAAAAAATGAACATGCTAAGTTGTTTGTCTTCAACATTTGCACGTACTTATCAAATATTTTTACTTACTTGTTCGCACATATAACTCCCTTCTTCTTCTTCTTCTTCTTCTTCTTCTTCTTTTATTTTGTTGGTTAAATTTCTTACTATATTCATAGTGTACTTTATTTTGTTACTGATCGAAAGATATATCTAAGAAAAATTTCACTACATTTAGGACGAGAAAAGACGAATAAGAAATAGAGGAAGAAAAAAAGCCTTAACCTATCATCAATTCTTCATTTTTTTTAAATAAACGGGAAATTCATTGTATGTTATACTAGATTGAAAAAGAAGACATAGATTGTCGACTATGTGCATTCGTCGTTGTACATTTAATTATTCAAAAAAAAACTAAGGGTATTTTTTTCTTCATCAGCTCTCTCTCTCTCTCTCTCTCTCTCTCTCATCTTCAACTCCCTATTTATATATATATATTCGCTCTATATACTAAATGAGCAACTGAAGGATGCTAGTATACGAACGATGATATGAGAGATGGTTATCTATCATCACCATCAATTGTTTTTACTCTTTTTCTTTAGATACATAACCTAAAATGCACCCAAAAGAAAAACTCGAAAAAGAAAAAAAATGAGCATTTTCATCAATTGCAACAGTTTTGTTTTCCTATTTGAATCTTGATGAAAATTATATCCAAAAAACAAAACACAATCTCAGATAAAAAATCATAACATATGGCTATTACCGAGAGAAGACATTTCTATATATTGAGGGTCACGCTGTATTAATGTTCAATTTGATGAATGGTTGATCGTTATACGTTGTTGTCTACACCTTATTATTTTCTCCATATTGATAGTTTGAGTCTCTTCGTTTTTTCTTCTCGTCGTCTTCATTTGTTGTATACCATCGAAATAGCTACGGTTGAGCGATCACATATACTTGCTCGGTGAACATTCGATAGTTGCGGTCAGGTCCTAATTCAAGTTGAAAAATTAAAAGAAGGAGGAGACAATATTAAAAGAAATGAACAACGAGCTTTCTCATCGTTTTCTTTCTTTTTTTTTGTTTCTTTCTATGTTTGATATTGATAACGAAAGCACACCTTTCACCTTTCAATGATACAAATAGGTTTCATTGTTTGTTGTTAAATTCTTCAATTACTGATCAATAAAATGAAAAAAACTAAATAACTGAATATATATCACGTTGAAACTTGTGAAAATAAATACATTATGAATACATCAAGATCGTGTACAATTCTAATTAAATAGTCAAGTCAATAGGTGAAAACCCATCGCTAATAGGAAAGGTCAAGATAGTATCTATAATTGCATGATGAAAAAATTTAGTAGCCGACAGACGTTATGCGTGATTGTCTTGACAAAATGAAATTGACAAGTGGAAGTAGATCGAAAGTCTTGCCGACGTTTTCTAATACAAAAATATACCTTTATCGGTATGATATCAAAAACATTTTTCTCCTATTGTGTCGTTATTGATGTTTATCATCAAGAGTTTTTTTTAATGATTTTCAAGGAAATGATTGTTATTATAATATAGCATACAAATTACGTTTATTAAATAATAATAAAAAAAAGAATGGAAACAGAACTATATGTATATATTTATTGGTCAGTAATCATTGCGTGTAATCGAGCTGATTTATAGTCCGTACGTAATTGAACAAATGATTCAATTATATCGCGTGTTAATGATGCCTAATAGAATGGAAGAAAAAAAAGGTCATTTAGTTCTTGGATTTTTGGAAGAAAGATTTCAACATACCAAATGTCCTTCTGTTACAACTTGACGAAGATTATCAGGTACAACAACAAGTAAATTAACAAGTGCGTGTAGAATAGAAAATAATTGTTCAACAGTTGAACTACGAAATTTTTTCGAACATTTTTTATATTCACTTATATCCTGTAACATCATTAAACCGCCTAAATATAAAATTGCAAACAAAAAGAAAAATAATTAAATTAATTTTCATACAAACCTGATATGTTGTATTCAAATTTAAAAACATGATCTGTTACTAATCGATGAAAACGAAGACCAAAATCATTTAGAATACTTGTTAAATTTTTTCCATCGGCTGTTTGTTCAAGACGCGCAATTTGATTTTCAATTGAACGTACTACTCGTCTGCATATCTATGTGAAAGATGAAATAAGATTCTTGAAAATAGATAGTCCACTAAACATACAACTGAACATTCAGTGATAAAAAGATCACTTTCTGGTTTAAAATCTGATCGTTTTTGTTCATTAAGAATATTACGAACATAACCAATTATGCATGATAAAGCCCTTCAAAATAGAAAGAGAAGAAAAAAACAAATGATTGTCACCGAAAAAGATAAAAACTTTATTTACTTATCAACACCAATGTTAATCAATTCTTCTAATTGACCAAAAGTTTTTTCTTTTGCTTGTAAAAGTAATGTTTGTTGTTGAGTTCCTCTGAAGAAAAACAAAAATAAATCCTGAGGTTTATCATTAAAATACATTACAATAATAATGGAGCAATTTCCATAACAAAATAACGTTCGATTAATTGTATGCTATTATTTGTATGAAGTATAGCATGAAAAAAACGTATATCTGGTTCTTGTTTCGGTTCAGGGCCAGGTATAGCTTGTAAACTATATTGTAATTCAGTTTCAATATGTTGATTGCCTAATGTGTTAAGTAATCGTAGGAAACATTTAAGAGTGTTTTCCGACGCTTCGGATCCTTCCGATAACTAAATGAATGGCATTCGTGTAGTTTTTATTTCGAAGAGATGATCTCTAGAATTGTTTTCTTCTACAAACCGTTGTTATCCGACTCAATGCTGTTTTACAATCATTTAATAGAGCAGCCGCTAGATCCGGCGAAAAACGAGATTCATCCGCTTGATCAGTTGTATTTAATAAACGTTGTTGAATTAAATCAGTTATACTAAATAAAATGAATTGTTTTTATTTTGATGACCATCAACAAGGATCTGTTCGCACGAACAATTTCGACGTGAATTACTATTATTTACCTTAATCCAGTTGGTTTAATTCTTCGTTGGCCGCCCGATGATTCGATACGTTCAAGATGCATTTGAAATTTTTCTTCCAAACAGTTAATTTCGTATCTAATATTCAGAGAATAATAATAATAATAGAATTTTAAATGGAAAATTATTCATCAACATACTTGCTATAAGATTTCAAATAGCTTTTAAAAACATGTTGATTCAGTTTATGTAAGAATGCAGGATCGTCACTAATTTTTTGTGTTTGTAATTCGTTGGATAATTTTGTTGCTCTTTAATTTTTCATAAAGATAATTCAACACAAAATCTGCTAATTTATGTTGACTTACTTTTTATTTAAAGTAAATAAAGTTTGAAGATATTTTTCCATTTTATCTAAATCTGAACTACGTTCATATGCATCAAGTTGATCGCGAACATAAGGCTATGGAAAACGAAATCGATCAAATTATTTTCCATATATTAATACAATCGAGAAAAAAAACACGTACCGCTAATTTTTCAGTATAAACTGTAATAATCAATCGTTCTATTACTTTTTCGGGTTGATCAAATAATTCATTAATTAATTCAGAAACTTTAGTAAATAATTGTGGAATAGAACTAAATATATCAATATTTGGATTATCAAAATAACCCTAAACAAGAAAAAAATATTTAATTTTTATTGAAATAAACACATTTTAAATTATGATTTAGATAATATTATCCTATCTCAGTCATGCCGATAAAAGTGAGCCAGTAGCTGGTCGTTCAGGGAATAACAAAATGATAAATAAACATTATTCTAGTACATATTATCACTGAATATGATATTCACAAGGGAAATTTGATCTAAATCAGTGGAAAACAAGCTTCTATATGTACATACTTTTAAACAGTCAGTAATAAAATTTTGAATGCAATCATTATGACCCTAAATAATGAGAGAAAGACATGGATGACAAAAATATTATTTCTTTTTTGAGGTTAAAATTTACTTTAAATTTTGATAATAATTTAATATATTTTTTCATCGCTTTTTTATCATTGCGAACTTGTGCACGAGAAAATTCTAATAGCAATTCTTCTTCAATAGCTGAATAACGTTCTTTGACTTTAGCTTTTGCATCGATAAATCTTATTGAATAAAATGAAAATGTCTCTTTTGATTTATTTGACAACTGTACTTTTACTTTGGTTCATCGGGTAATTCTTGTAAAACATTATATAATTGATGAATGATATGTGCTGCTTGTTCAAGTTTTGAAGCATCTTGAAACATTAAACTAACATCATCATTTGCATCAAGAAAACGTTCGAGATATTTTGCCGTTGTTCTTGCGTCAACTAATTGTTGACGTGGATTACTTTTACTTTCAAGTTGATGACCAATTTGTATGACTTTAGTTGATATAACACTTATACGCATTTCAAGTTCTTGTTGACCGGTATATGTGGACTTGAATAATAAAAAAAAGTAAAGATTAATTTTTGTTTAAAACATCTTCCAAGTAATTTCTACTTGATATAATTCTTCAAGTTGTGCTACACTATCTGCCCATGTATTTCTTTCTTTTTCGCAGACTTCTTCAAGTTTTTTAATATTTTGTTCTGTTTGAACTTGATAATCCTGTATGAAAACAATCGTTATGTTAAATAAATAAAATCTCGATTTATTTATTTTATTTTTGGTTTACTTGTAAAATCGACATGGCATGACGAAATTTACTTTCTAACAGATTTGGATCAAAATTTTCATTGATAACATTTCCATCAGTGGACTTGTAAGCGATATTTTCAATTAAATTATCCACATCAAATGCTGTCTATGATAGAAATAGAAAATTTAGATGAACGAAAAAAGAAAACCTCTTACTGAATCTAAGTTAGCTAAAACCAATTCTTCCATTGATATAAAAAAAAATAATAATGATTTCTAGAAAAAACAAAAAACGAAATGAGAAGATGTCTTGCCTAAACAAAAAAAAACTGTTTCTATGTGGGTTTTTTCTCGTCTTAATAATAAAATTAATATCACGACACACGTCATTCAACTTCATTTATTTCAATACGAATAAGTCCGGATAGATATGCATAGGCACACATGGTTAATAGACCCACAGTAATCACTGCTACTTTATCTCGAAGACGATCTTCACCAGGACTTGTCGATGTCGCAGTTGTTGTTGTAGAATTAGTTGTAACAATATCTCTCGCTAAAATAAAGTTTCCGATATTCGATTAAAACATTCTTTTTTTTTGAACTGAATGACATACGCAAATCACCAAGATATACTGTTAATATTCGATCAACAAAATCACGAAGATTTTTTCTATTTGACGCATAACGTGCAAGAGCACCATTCGATGCTGGACCATGAATTAATGGAGCCAAATAGCCAAAAACTAAGGCATCAATGCTTGTAGGACTTAAAATGAACAAAATATAATTAGCTAATTGCAAATTAGACTTGTAATCTAATCTATTTGTAAAGCTTACAATAACCAATTATAGTACAAAATAAACTTTAATTTGATTGGTGTATTTTTCGTGTTTGTAATCCATACGTATAGGTAGTAAAGAATAATAAATACTCATACTCGTATCGTCATAAACCGTTCCCAAGGCTCAAAAAATGATCGTATCTCCTCGTACTATCTGATTAGTAAAGATACTCAATGAAAAAAAAATGCGACTTTAACTATTAAAACAATATAAATAAGAAGTTACCAAGCACCAAAAAGAAATGATTTATTTCCGAGTACATCAGTTAAATGATCCAAAACGTTTTTGCCTTTATCAAATATCTAAAATAACAGAATATGAAAATTATATAAAAGATAAAATTTTTCATACAGATTTTCGAGTCTGTTCAAAATTATCTTCTCCATAAAGAATGCTAAATTGATTTTTAAGTTTTTCCGTTTTTTGTTTACCATAGAAGAATGCGAGTGGAAAACCACCCAATGCTTTTGCATAGATATTAATGATTGAACTTCGATATGCATCATCAAGCCAAAATGTATCAAGCTATAAAGATTTAAATTTCCTTTTCAAAACATCAATAAAAATCGTAGAACATACCACCGCTGGTATAAATGTTGATTTAACAAGCGCAGTTAATGCAAGTAAATCAGCATTATTGGCATGATATTCTTCATCAATATCGATATGCTAAATTTAGGAACAAAATTGATTAGGAAACATATATAAATATTTGATGGAAAAAATCTACAAACCGATTGTTTACAATGATCAACAATAGCTTCGTAACCAGCTGCTAGATGTATGCTATCATTATCACCGAGTAGCAGTGGTAAACGTTCTGTAATATAATTACAAAATAATAAAATCAATAGTCCATTTCAAAGATTATACCTCTATAAAACATTAATCGCCCAGAGAGTGTTTTAACAGGAACATTCAATCGAGAAAAAGCAAAATGAGCCTGTGTAAAGGAAAAACACTAATTAGATTAACAACAAATAAAGTAAGTCTATTGTTTTACTAGAACACTGAGGCATTCGGGATCGAAAGAAGGTAATACATTGTAGGCTGGCCAAATACATAAAGATGTGAAAGCTAGTTTCTAGAGAATAATTGATTTAATTAAGAAAAATGGATAAATGTAAAACTATACTGGTTCAGTTGCAGACGAAGACGACATTGAATATAAAACAATTAATGATAAGAAAAAGGGTACACAATAATTCTACCGAAATCATTTTTTGACATTCTCGCAACAATTGGTCCACACAACGAGGAAATCAGAAAATAGATTTTTACATAGATGAGTGACCTCTGTTGACCAGCCATGTGCTTTTTGTTTTCAATTATAAATGTAAATAAAAATTGTACAAATCTGAACTAAATGAATGACTGTTTTTCATGTTTGTTTAACATTCTTATTTTGTTGATTCCATTAAAAACTGTTCGTAAAATAATCATAAACATAAAAAGAATTTCACAGATACCTAAAGTAGTTTCTTTCTTGGTGCAAGTACTTTTTTCTCTGTATACTTATCTACAAATGTGTCCCCTTGTCTTGTAAAGATATGTTAAATGTTCTTTTATCTGAGCTGTTGGCCTTAGTCATTTATCATTCGAAGTAATTATTAGATGTACTCTGAACTGCAAGTTAATTTATTTTTTTCTTCAAAAATTTATGTTGATTGGCTATTCGGAATGTTTTTCTGGCCGATATAATCTATCAAAAATATTTATTAGATGCACTGTATGATCAAAGATCAACAACAGCTGATGATAACATGGAAAACGAGAATGAGTAATAATATTAAGATCACGCCATCACTGATGATTTGTTCTCTTGTGTTATCAAGAAACAAATGAGCTTATCAATAAAATTCTTAAGAAAATACTTTCAAATTTTTCAAATTCGCAAAAAACTAGGTGAGCTAACTAACTTTCTTTTAACTCATCATCAAACAATATTGCATCTATAAGCTAATTAGTCATTGTAGATCGAATGCATTAGTTCTTCACATCTTTTCAATATGAACATTCTTTATGGAATTTATTTTTTTGTTATAAATTTAATAAATCTTTCCAAATCAACTACTCCAAATGTTCTAATCTTTCTTGTGGATGATTTGGGATATGGAGATCTAGGATGTTATGGAAATTCAACCATTGATTCGCCACATATTGATTCATTGGCACGTGATGGTGCTAGATATACACAAATGTATTCAGCAGCACCAATATGTACACCATCTCGTGCTGGATTTCTCACTGGACGATATCCAATTCGTTTAGGATTAACATCGAACGACAACCGATTTCGTACATTTAATTCGCCAGGTCAATCGGGTGGTTTACCTCATGATGAGACAACCATAGCTCAAGTTGCACAAGAATTGGGCTATCGAACTGGTTTAGTTGGAAAATGGCATTTAGGCTTGGGACGTGATGGTGAACATTTGCCGACCCGACATGGTTTTCATACGTTCTTTGGCATGCCTGTCACCAATGTACAGACATGTGGAAATAAGAAAGTATATAATTTAATTGGAGGACATGGCGAAATTCTAGATCGTTCATTTTTTTCCTATTGGATTACGTTGACAGGCAAGGTAAATGATCAAGTTCTTTTTGAAAAAATTAGTTTATTTTTTTCCCCTAAGATCTGGCTAACAATAATTGTTGTTGCACTAGTGACATGGTTGTTTGGTTCTCGTAAATTAGCTTTTATTATATTAATTATATGCGCAATTGGTTTCTTTGGTGGCATGTGGTATACACTTAGTTTTACTCTTCTTAGTCGTTCGTCATGTTTATTGTATCGCAATGAAACAATTATTGAACAACCTGTTCATCTAGAGGATTTAACTCTACGGAACACGAACGAAGCCACTCGATTTATGACGGAAACTGTTCAAATTCATAAGAAACCATTTTTTCTCTATATGGCTTATGTTAAAGTACATACTGCCCTATTTACTCTTCCGGAAAATGTTGGACGTAGTCGTCATGGCGCCTATGGTGATAATATTGAGGAACTTGATTGGAGTGTAGGAAAAATTCTTCAAACATTGAAGATTTTAAATATTGAAAATGATACTCTAATTTTCTTTTCTTCTGATAATGGACCTTTTCTTGAACGTGGCATTGAAGCTGGATTTTGTGGTCGTGCTATAGCATCTTCTGGTAAGCTCAGCGAACCATTACGAGGTGCAAAAGGACAAACATGGGAGTGTGGTATTCGTGTTCCTGGTATAGTTCGTTGGCCAGGACATGTCGTGTCTGGTCAGACCATTGAAAGTATATCTTCTTTACTCGATTTCTATCCTTCATTGTTGGAACTATGGAATGTTGAATCGATGCCAGATCGACCTATTGATGGTGTGAGTTTGTGGTCAAATTTGAAATTCATTTCTGACACAAGTCAAGTACGAAAAGAACGCAAAACCCTCTTTCATTACTGTGGCTCAACGATAGCAGCTGTACGTCAGGGCAAATATAAGGCACATTATTGGACACCAAAATGGGATGAAGGTATGCGTGCATGTCCTAGTGTTACCATCTGCCCGTGTCTTGGTACAGAACATTCACCGCCATTATTGTTTGATATTGAAGCTGATCCAGCAGAAGAATCACCATTAGATATTCAAAACTATGCAGAAGTTTTATCTATGATGAATATTGCTATTCGAAAACATCAAGCAACACTTGTTTCAGTACCCAATCAACTAGAAACTTTAGCATTACCATGGTTATTTCCTTGCTGTAATTCACAAGGTTGGACACGTATGATTCGTTTGATAACTAATTCTTGTCAATGCTGATCATTAGTGAAACTTTTGCGATAATTCGTCTCAGATTACTGCAATACAATCTAATGTATTTCTTACACCAAACATCAATGTATACACATGAATTATAATTTTTATTCAAACTATAAACAGAATAAGTGATAGTTTTTAGAGCAGCTCTCTTTAGTACGTTTGAGAAGGGTACTTCGACTTGTGCCCGATACATATTTTACCGGAGAAAAATGGCATATCTATGTAAACAAATTATTTCCACTAGATTGGTTTCTTCGGATCATTTCCAACTGTAGTTTGACAGCAAAATCGCTTTAAATATATCTTACTACCTATTTTACAAGAGTTTTCTTTTATATTTCACACAGAAAAAAAAGATGTGCTTTGCAATGAATCTATTCTAAACTCTATTGATTCATTATCTACCTTAATGATGTTAATCATCGTAATCTGTCTACTACTGAGTACAACTAGGTTTTCCATTGTCAATCGTAATTCTGACAGTTTAAAATAGAATAATTTTCATTGGGTATTATATTTGAGCATTCATTTGAAAGTAGATAAATTTTTGCTTGAAATAATTTTCTCGTTTCTTTTCATTTGAACTTAGGTAACAGGCAAAATTGCACTTGTGCTCTTAGATTATCCTAGATACGGCCATCTCACATAAAACTTTCTTCTTCTTCTTCTTGTTCTTTCCCTTGAGATACAAATCTTAGTATTTACCTAACACGCATTTTATTTCCAGTTCTTCCGTTTATTACTGAAAATATCCTCATCAAAACAAACGGAAGTTATTAATGTTGAACAAGTTATATTTGTCTAACTGTTATACCAATATTTATTGGTACACATTAAAAATTTTGTTTTCTTTTACTTTCTTCAGAAAAAAAGAGCAAATAACTATATGAAGAGCACCACAGAAAACGTAAGAAATTTTTTTTTCCTGTGGAGTACTTTTCGAGCATATAATATGAGTGGCTATCATCATTGAGAGTTTCTCTTTCCTTTTTTTTTATCAAATGTTGATTGTATTTGATTCATCAATAAATTGAGGTACATGACAAGTTACCATGATTATGAAGTTGATTAAATGACAACATAATTCCAATGAGCAGCGACATCAGACGTTGAAATCGTCAAAGAGTATTTTTTTTCTTATATTTTGAATCTATACAAAAGAAAAAAAGTCTAGTCTTAATTTAATCATTGGAATAGTATCGATAAATACTTACAATTTGATTGAATTCTGATGACTTATAAATCTATTTATTTAATTCGTACTTTTTTAAATGAATAATACCTGTCTTATGAAGTTTTTTCTCGTTTAAATATCGATTAAAATCATCGATAGCTGCTGTTGTATTAAGTGATTTTCGAGAACATTTTCTTCTCTTCTTTTGCGATTTTATAGAACAATCACTGATCGTTTCCGAAGTACAATTTTGATTCATATTTTGTGTAGATGTTGCTATACGTTCGAGTGATTGTACACGAGTTGTTCTACTTAATTTGTTTGGTTTACCACAATAATCATTAATATGTTGAATGCCGAATGTTTTATTACACTTTTTTATTTCTTGCCGTGAATTGGGATCACCGGAACGGTAAGCTGCATATTTTACAGCTGGATAAATCCATGTCAACGCAATACGATAGTGTAGAAAAATGTCTATGATAGAAATTTTCATCAATCTTTTTCATATAAAAAGCAGCTTATGAGAAAAAGCATTGATTGAACAGCATACTATAATTTCTATGAAATCCTCGAATAGAAAAACAAAATGAACCTTTGACAATTGTTTGTAAAACCATAGCATCACTAAATTTGATCTTAAAAAAGACGGAGAAAAAAAATATATGTCTTCAACTTCATTTCTCATACTTGATTCTCAAGTTCACAATTCAGTAAATCAAAATCAGTTACAAGCAAATCAAGAGCTAAATATAATTGATCATCAGGCAACAAAAGATCATAGCCAATATCTTGATGAATTTGTTTTAAATCACGTAATCGATTAATATTACATTTAAATATATCTATTGATCGACGAGCGACTGGCAAATTAATCATTTTACCATCAGGAAAATGAATTCGTGTCAAACGCATATCAACAAATGTTCGTTTGGCTAATATGAATATAAAAACCCACAGCCTTGAACGATAAATACATAGATATAGATGATTTCTATACATACTTAATGCACATAGGAGACGCATTTTTTGAACAAAATTATCAAATTCAGTATCGAGATTGTAATGAAAAGCACAGGCACGTGGTACACAAAAACTACTGAAACGTTGCTAAAAAAGAATGTGTTGATTTAAGAAAAATAAAAACATAATCCTAGTTTTCAACAATAAATCGGCATGAAAAGAAAGCCGGAAATCATCATTTCCTTGGTGTTATTTCATTCTCCAAGTCTACGTCGTAATCACTTTTCCAAGATAAATTGCAATTCTACAATTCGTTAAACCGTAAATTATTCTATTTTGTGTTTTTTAGCATTACGAATTCTCTTCTTTTTTTTTCATTAAAATCATTTTTACCAGCGTATTTATTTGTACCCGTCGTAATGATGATGTTTGAAATGCGTTAATAGCAAAATAAGTTAATTCACTTGAATATTCTAAAAGATTATTTAAAAATTGAGCAAATTGAATTCGTAGCAATTTTGGCACATGCTGAGAAAGTTTCGCTTCACGGTCCATTTTTTTCAAAGTTCTTCTTTCGAAATCAATTGACTCATTATATTGTAGCATTGTAAGTTGCTTGCTTGTACAATGATTATATGTCTATTTGATTAATTCTTTCATGATTCTGTCGATCTATGTTAATGATTAATGATCACGAACGAGAAGAATCATGAACTCAGATGAAAAGTATAATGGAAATTAAAATTTTTGTAATCTATATAATTCAATCAAAATCAATGCATGACAACCAAATATATGCTCAAAGAGAGAGAGAGAGAGAGAAAGAGAAGAATTTCTTCAAATTCAATGGTCTATTTTAATTGATAAGAACTTTGAAAAGAAAAAAAAAACAGATCAAATTCTTCGATTAAGAAAAGAAGTCCTAATATAAATCAAAAGATTTCTAAGCATTCATATCTTTAACTAAATTAAGTATATTATCTAATAAATGTCAATTTTTGCTTCCTTACAAGTCTAATGAATGTCAACGATTGCAAAAAGAAAAAGAAAACTTCTGATTATTCTATTTGAAAGATTAATTAATCGTTTATATTTCATTTTTGTCAAATTAAATTAAGAAAGATTATTTTATTTTTGGTCATATTAGCATAGATCAACATATAATTCGAAGTTATATCATAATGCTTTCTTGTTATATGCATTTGCACGTATTCATCTTGTGACTTCCTATTCGGGTCCATGTACGTTCATCATTCATGTTGAATTACTCGGTTAGAAGTTTGACAGTAGTAGAAACCGGGTAGAAGAAAGAGAAAGCACAATTTTGTTGTCAGAATTCCGAAAAATATAACGACAGGGGGAGGGAAGGAGATCGACTATGTGAACATATCTGACTTTCATGCTTCCTTTCTCTCTTCGATGGTTGAAGTGACGCCTTGTGATTTCTCGTAAACATGCCGATCGCCAACGACATTTTTCCTTCTTTTTTTCTCCTTAGCTTTTTCTTGTCGCATTAACCCGTTCAAGTTTTGTATATCTGCTCTATCTCGCTATCATTTTCCTGTCTTTTTCCTTCTGAATTATCAACAATACGATTCTCTCTCTCTCTCTCTCTCTCTTGCTTTCATTTTCCGTTTAAATGCATTTTTTTCTCTTTTTTCTGTTTCGTCCCATCTATTTGCAATAATTAATTGTATAGCGGGCATTTTTTTATCTTTTTCCGAGCAGTCTGTTTTTCTTGCTATGCTCCTCTTTTTCTTTCACTGTTGATTCGACCAAATTTTTTCCGGTTCTCTCAATGTCGCTGTGAGAGAAGTCGTGCTCTTTGGAATACTTGATAAAGAAATAATAAAAAAAAAAAGGGAAAAACCGAGAGCGTAAGACGATGAGAAAACGCAGAAATAGTTGAGAGCATTGAGTGACACAATAAAGTACATCTTCAATGACGGCTCATCAAAATGAGAATACTGACGAAAGTAAGAACGAAGAGAACAGAAATGTGTCGTGATTGATTATTGTCGAGAACATCCTCTCTTCTCGTTATCATCATCATCATCATGCAGGCTCCATTGTTTTCCTTATTACACAAACAACAACCATCCACTGGCAATCATATTGTCAATCGGCATAATGTCAAATTGTTTATTCGGATTTGTGTCGGTCTCGCTTTGGCACATATTGTTGGCCAACGATTTCGACCGAGTAATGCTGCTCCTAGCGTTACAAAATCCAATTGGAAATATCGACCTCAAAAAGTACAACCGACGGCTCTCGGTGATGGTAAGTTTACATTCATCATGATTATATTCGATTTGTTTGCCAACACCGGAAAATAATACAAAAAGAGAATAGGATATCATTTTCATTTGACAGCCATATGACAAAAAACATGCTGTTTTCTTAAATAACTTCTCATGAGAATTGAGGTTTTATGTTTTTGATTGTAAAAGAAAAGAAATCAAAGGTGACATAAAATTCATTATTTAGATCAAGCCGATGATGAAAAAACTACTACAATTAGCACGTCAACTATTTTGTTAACTACCAACGGCTGGCGACCGGGACAATTGAAAAACTGTACTGAGCCTGGTTAGTATTAAAAGAGATTTATATTTCTCATGCCTATTCTAGAGTAAGCCTTCAGGCAAAACATTTTTCTTTAATTCATGTCAAATCAAATTATAAAAGAAAGTATTATATTGTAATTTAATCTTTACATACTTCTATTTTTGAGAAGATTTTCATGAAAATGCTAAATTATTCAAAAAGAAAATACATTCTTTTGTTATTTTTCTTTACAGCCATCGATGAATTTCCCGAAGACCTTTTTACTCAGTCACAACGACGTCATGTAAGTCAATATCAATGTTCACGTGTATAAATATAGCAATCGATTATAATTATCGTATAGGGAGCGATCATATTTCATTTTATGGCTTGTCTCTATATTTTCATTGCCATAGCAATCGTTGTCGACGATTATTTTATATCTGCATTGGATAAACTTTGTGCGGTATGAATTTAATTAATGTCAATTCGAATATATATATATCGGAATATAATTGTTGTTTTCTCTTTTGTCAGGCATTGGGTCTTGACGAAGATGTTGCAGGCGCAACATTCATGGCTGCTGGTTCGTCTTCACCTGAGCTTTTTACTGCTATTATTGGTAAAGATATATATATATTTTTTTTTAAATAGGATATTAATTTAGAGAACAAAAATATTCCTTTAGGTATTTTTGTGGCTAAAGGCGATGTTGGTGTAGGAACAATTGTCGGCTCAGCTGTATTCAACGTTGTCTGTGTCATTGGTGTATGTGGATTATTCGTTAATGGAGTAAGTTTGAGAATAAATTATATATGAATTAATAATAACTATTTTTTTTTATTTCTTCCGATAGGCAATACGATTGACCTGGTGGTATGTATGTCTAATATGATACGTCACTATACATTACTGAAATTGTTTTGTTTCTTTTAATAAATTGACATATAGGCCATTATGTCGTGATTCTATATACTATGGCTTGTCAATCCTTGTTCTAATCATAGTAAGTAACAATCAACAAATAGAACGTTATAATGATAAATTATGCATATATGTATATAGTGTTTATCCGATGGACGTATAACATTATTCGAATCGATATTTCTTCTATTAATGTATGCAGGATATATATGTATTATGTGGTAAGAACTAACTGAAATGATAGTTTGAAAAATTGATTTATTTCGACTAGTAATAATCAAAAACTGCAAAGATTATTTGTTAATCGTTGGCAAGTTTTTAAAACATATGGTGGACCCGAAGAGCCAATACTGACTTATGCGAATAATCAAAGATCATACGGAATGAATAATACTTATGGTGAGTTTGTTCTTTGATTGTTTTTTTTTCTTTAAAAAAAGCTTTTTTCTTCTTCTGTAATTTAATAGAACGATTCGCTGATGATGATGGCCGGACCTCTAATAACAATCCAACGATGGAGCAAAATAATCCTATGCCAATTGATGAAATGATAGCTAGATCATGTTTACCATTTGATTTCGAAACGACAGTACTTAGAATAATGATGTCAAGATATTATCGAAGTCAAACTCGATTTAAAATGGCTGTACGATTCGTCATCAGTGAAGTAAAATAAACGAAAAACATGAGAAGAGAATCTATCTCTTCTTTTTCTAGACACGGTTACAACAAGGACAAGGTGTAACTCGTCCACAGAAGCCAGCAAACGAAAGACGATTCTCATTTTATCAAGGTCGAACACCAAGGTAGTAGAGTTTTTTAAAAAAGAATAATTTCATTAGAGAAAAAAAATAATACTATTATATTTAGTTTGTTAGCAGCTGAAGATAATTATGACGATTGGAAAAATATTCCTAATTGCAGTAATGATCCAATGAACTGTGGAAAATGGGTAATAATTTCACCAATTAAAATTCTCTTCCATTTTACAATTCCTGACTGTCGTAATCCGAGGTGAGTAATTATATCTCAAGTTTTCTTTGCTTCTAACCAATATTATACATACATATCCAATAGATGGTTTAAATGGTATCCATTTACATTTGTCATGGCTATTGTTTGGTTATGTCTATTGACTTATCTAATGGTTTGGATGGTTACAATTATTGGTTTTACATTTGGCATACCGGATAGTGTTATGGGCATAACATTTTTGGCTGCTGGTAGTAGCGTTCCAGATGCAATGAGTAGTGTCTTAGTCGTTCGGCAAGGTAGAAATCGAATATAAATCTAATGATATAGTACAAAACAAAATTTTTCTATCATTAGGTCTTGTCGATATGGGTGTATCAAATACATTTGGTTCGAACGTATTTGATTTACTAGTTGGCCTTGCTCTACCATGGTTTTCTAAAGCATTAGCTAGTGGAGAAGCCGTACATATAAATTCCAATGGATTGATGTACGATTCTGTTCTTCTACTTGGCATTGTTGGCATAACGGTAAGACACAAACCAGATGGAAAAACAAAAACTATATATATATATATATATATTTGATTATCTATTCTAGGTAGTTAGTTTTCACCGTCGAAAATGGTATTTAGATAAAAATTTGGGTATTTTTTTCCTTGCTGTTTATGGAATATTCGTGATTTTCTCATTATTAATTGAACTTAATGTCTTCGGTTTTGTCAACCCACCTATGTGTTAAATAGAGAAATCTTTTATTTTTTTTTGTTTCTTGTCATATCACACTATTTTAGAATAATAAGGTATTTTTTTGTGTGTATTTAATTTTTTCATCCATATCAAATACATATCGTTTTTGCTGTTGTTTTCCTCACATAAAATAAAAAAAATGCTGTTAGGCTGACGAAATGGACCCGAACACGCAAGATAAAAAGGAAAAAAACAGTGCCTCTTCATCTCACAGAGAAATCGCTATACAATCGAGCAGTAAAAATTCCTTGAAATATGAAATAAACTCAAAAGAAGTAAGGTGCGTGAAAGGCAAAATTACAGTGGATTCTGTTTTCTCGTTCATACGTACATGATTTGATAGAGCTTGAACAGCTGATTCCGAATATATACTTTTTATTTCGATTCGACCATTTTTTGGTTTAGAAAATCGTAAAAAACTAGAATGCCTAAAAAGTTCAATTTTTACTATGAAATATTTTTTTCTTTAGAAATTGCAGAATTTAGATATCAGAAATTTTGTGAACTTTTTGAAAGTGCTATATTCGGAATCAGCATGAAAAACTGAATAGAAAAATGTCATTTGATTAGAAATAGAGCTAATAGAACTAAACAAATTCTACCCTATATAAATAGGTTCATCAGGCTAAAAGTATGTATTAGTGAGTATTCTTGTAGACGTATCTAGTTTTTTGTAACAAGAGATAGAAGCAACTGACTTATCTTGTTAGACTCAGTAGATCATGGGCTACAAAAGTTATTATTTTGTTTTTTAAAATTTTGTTCTATTCTCCAGAAAATTCAAGTTTCTTGCTCCACGGTAGTAAAATCAGAGAAAACAGTGAAAAAGGCGTTCGTACTTAGCTTTTTTACTAGCATAGTTCAGTTTTCAAGGTAAATGAATATCATATTCACAATCAGCATGAAAAACTACACCAGGTCATGTCTTTTCTATTAAAAATATTTTCCAATGAAAAACATCCTGTAGTCCCCCTCAGGTCTATTTTGTTGAAAATTTGCCCGTACTCCCCTACAGGGTTGAATTTTCGTAAGAATTTTTTTTTCTAAAGTATACATGCTCAGGTGTAGTTTTTCTCGCTGATTGTGAATATGATATTTATTTATCTTGAAAACTGAACTATGCTAGTAAAAAAGCTAAGTACGAACGCCTTTTTCACTGTTTTCTCTGATTTTACTACCGTGGAGCAAGAAACTTGAATTTTCTGGAGAATAGAACAAAATTTTAAAAAACAAAATAATAACTTTTGTAGCCCATGATCTACTGAGTCTAACAAGATAAGTCAGTTGCTTCTATCTCTTGTTACAAAAAACTAGATAGGTTTACAAGAATACTCACTAATACATACTTTTAGCCTGATGAACCTATTTATATAGGGTAGAATTTTTTTAGTTCTATTAGCTCTATTTCTAATCAAATAACATTTTTCTATTCAGTTTTTCATGCTGATTCCGAATATAGCACTTTCAAAAAGTTCACAAAATTTCTGATATCTAAATTCTGCAATTTCTAAAGAAAAAAATATTTCATAGTAAAAATTGAACTTTTTAGGCATTCTAGTTTTTTACGATTTTCTAAACCAAAAAATGGTCGAATCGAAATAAAAAGTATATATTCGGAATCAGCTGTTCAAGCTCTATCAAATCATGTACGTATGAACGAGAAAAAAATCCACTGTAATTTTGCCTTTCCCGCACCTTATTTACACTTGATCTTCTTGTTGTTCGCTCGTATTCATGGCCTTTCATTTAATCAAATTGGCATAGATGTTTCTAGTAGGAAGTTTTTCGATTCTTTTATGAAGGTCGTGTGTTAAATCAAGTGCGAAAATAGAATGTATTCGGACAAAGTGCATAAGGAACTAAAAAGACTGCGCGAAGAGAGTGTGAATGTCATAAAACATGCTTCATTTAGGGATTCATATTAACCGCCCAAAAGAACTAGGTAGAATGTCAAAATGGCATCAGCATGTTTCAGTGACTTGCGTGTCAAGTTGGACGAAATAGATTGAAAAAAAACTGTCTAGAGTATTAGCAATGATAGAAAAGAAGGAGACTGAAAAATAATAAAAAGCACTCGGTCCTCTATTGCTTCTCAAGCATTCATGTAGTTTTCTCATAATACTAAACTATCGCACTCAACAAACATTATTCTTCTTATTTCTGTTTTAAAAGTCACAATAAATCATTCCATTGACGAGATTTTTCTATTTTTTTCTTTTCTTAAAGCAATGAGTTATTAATATATTACTACAGAAACCATAACCCCGTTTCATGAATAGTAACGCGGAGCCAGGAAGATCTTCTTGTGAACAAAGAAGCAGCGGAGACGAACTACATCTCTAAACTGAAAAAAAACATATTGTTTCAATATTAATGATAAATCTTTTAGATTCTGCGGTGAAAATCAAAGGTCTCTACATGGGACTCAACCGCTTCCATCATTTCGTGGGTGAACTGTTATGCACGATCAAAAGAATTTCCTTTTTATTTAATCTCTTTCTTTATGTCCATTTGTCGCACACTCAAGTGGAAACGTTACAATCGTATTTCATCTTTTACTGTCGTTTGCGTACAACGTGTTACATTCCTTAATCTATTCTGAAAATTCTAACTTCAGAAGATAGCAGAACAAACATCGAGTGCTTTTCATGATTGTATCTGCTACTGTATATGTCATATAGATAATATTTCACTCGATGCTGACACAAACTTCTAACAATTTCAAATAATTATCGTATTTGAATAAGACTGCTAGACAATATCAAATGAGTATTGAATCGTTGTAAGATTTGTGATGATTCATTTTTGTACAAAGAGTTTCAAACTCAGCTCTGTCGAAACAAGGAAGTACCTGTTTTGATTAAATCGAACAAAGATTTTTCACAACAGAACGAAAGAGTGAGTCATGCGCGAGTAGATGTCATTATATTGACTATACTGTTTTCCTCATGAAAACTATAGCTATGCAACTATATACATACAGCCAACAGAATTTTTAGTCAATGACGTTAAACACGATAAACTATTCTTAGTCAGAATAAGAAAAGCTATAGCACAAAATAAAAATGATAAGCACGTCACCTTTTCGATAGATATAATATCGCATCAAGTACTATGCAAGCATGATGATTCATGTGCTGATAATAGAAACGTAAGATACGAAGGGATACAGCTGATTCAGAATCAAATGCGAGTAAAAATTTTAAAAAACTAGCATTTTCTTGCCGTCAAAATGTCAATACTCTAGGAATAAGTTTGGTACACAAACGTTCATCAGGCCAAAACATATCATTACTGAAGAAGTCAAAAAGCAACAAATGCAAAGTCCTCTTCCACAAGTAAAGTTGAAGGCGCACAATTTCGCTTATTCAGATCCATGCAATCTATCATCTCGTACTCAATGTGAGTTCTTCATGTATAGAGATACAATGATTCTAGTTCCCATTGGACGGCATCGTTTTCATTTTCTTTTTAATTTTGAAGATAAACATGTTGTATTTGAACGGCACGATCGGGAAACACTTTCGGTTCAAGCCAAAACTCTATTTAATTCCCGAATGATTTTTGAAAGCGATGCTGAACTAGAATGGCTACTCGAAAATGTACATAGTACAATGATTTCAATAAAAATTAATGATGATCCCTATGAAATCAACAGCAATTATGTTCTCAGGTTTGCGGTGAGTTTTTCTCTTTAGAAATCTCGACAAAGATTAATCCTTCCATAGTGACAGTCAGCGGTTTGTTCTTGTTCTTCATGGTTTTGATGAAACCGAGAGTTGGACAACGTAAATTTATCTTCCTATTTCTTTCACATTCATCAAATTAATACTTATTCTAGCTGGACGAAAATGATTCAGCCACTGAGCCAACGATACTCCTATTCAGTTATTTTTGTCGATTTACCGGGTTTCGGTCGATCAAGTGGACGTGATTCAAATCAAACGAGCTGGAAACGAAATGGACCAGAGATTATCATTGCTATTCTATCTAGTTTTCACATTGAAAGCCCTGTCAACATATTGGCTACCTGTGGTATAGGAATCTTATTTTTGTTTTATCTATGTATTAGAGTTTATCCAATACTAGGAGGATCAGCTACAATAGTGCGCACCATCAATCGATATCCTGCATGGTTTCGTGATCGTAATCTTATCTTTACAAATTCTGTGATAGGTGATTTTGGTGAATCAAAAGTCGGAGTAAGATCTTTTTAGATTGAATGAAAACGGAACTGTACTTATAGTAGAGAAAGGTCTATTATTTTCAGTATCATATTCAAATACATTCGAGATTTAATCGATCCATTTCATTGTGAATTTTCATAATTCATCATATTCTTTTCTTATGTAAACTTTATTTAGTATTTTGTTCTAATTTGGATAAAATTTCTTGAATGGTTTTTTGTAATGATGTACCAGTCGTATTAAGACAAGAGAGCCATGAATAATCTATTTGATCGAATATCTCGAATCTAATTTAGGATTTTGAAAAAAATTTAACACAATTTAACATTCATATCATCGTACATTGGTTTCCTGATGAAGATCATACCCATCATTGTGTGGTATTTGTAGCTCTTTCTTTTTGACGATTGTTTTAAATTCATTGTTTTATGATTAAAAATCTAAAGGCATACAAACGGTGGAACAAGTTACGGCAGTCCGGATTTCGCCATGTACAACTCATTGACTTTGATCCTGTGAAACAAACATCACAACTTGTCTACCCTGAAGTAAGAGTGCTGAATATTGGCCGTTGCTCATTCAAACATAAGGCAATAGTGTATCAACTCAGTGAAGAATATATCCAGCAGATTATCAATACTCTATCAGCAGGAAACGACAGTTAACAGTTCACTATTTTGAATGTAAAGACAGCCGATATTTAATGTATTCTGATTTGAACTGTTGTTTATAAGTTTCTATTTAAATAAATTAAAGTGTGCAAGACTTGTTAAGTTGTTCTGGAAAATATATTTCTCCCTTGTTAATTGTGTGTATGTAGATCTTCTTGTCATCCGTGCTCAACGCTGTCAGATTCCTCTGTCATCTGTAGAAAACTTGATACGATGTTCAGATCGACAAATCAATCTCGATTATGACTTTAATATTTAAAAAACAGTAAAGCTCCCATAAAAATACTGTATAGTTCATACAGTGATAATTGTTCAAGAACAAGAATCAACTGAGAACTATAAGAGCACTGATAGTAATGTCCATATATCTGCGAGAAGACTTTTCCAGAATCCTTCATACACCGATGTAGTGCTACTGCTGATGCTGCTGCTCGTGTTACTATTGGTTTTGGTGTAGCCTATGTAGTCTAAAATGGCAGTTTGAAGTTGTTTACGTGTATTCAGTAAGCCAACTGTAGGAAATGAGAAACCAGTTAAATTTCGAAAATATGTCTGATAAAATCTATTATTGGCTAAGAGTGGATCGTCATAGGCACTCTTGGACATAGGAAGCAAGTAACGAGGAATGCTACCTGGTTTGTCACCACTACCAACTACGACTGCTTGCATTCGAGGTGTGCCCATGAATTCAGCAAATAAACGAGAAGCATTCAACACGTCGGCAGACATGTTTCTTCGAAAAACAAATGCATCTGTAAAAAACAGAGGCTGATTATGAGCAGTGCCTATCGGTAGAGGTATAAGTTTGATATTGTTGTAATCGTATAAGTTGCCATCTTTTAGAATGTAAAAGAGTTGTTCCGAATAGGCAAACATCGCTGTAGTCTTATTTTGTGCGAACAATATAGCTGGCATATTTTGATATTTTCTAAAGGTCCCATCGAGACAATGATTCTCTCCTCGCGAACGATTGCATAGTCCAGCTAACTTGAGTATATTTTCGAAAGAGCTCTTCGTGTATCCATGTAGAGCGTATGCAACTGTTTCAGCTGAAGAGTTACTACTACCTTGATAGCTGTTAATCCATAAAGCCGGTAGTCCCCAACTCGAATCCATGTTTCCTGCTAGGCGATAATCATCTGTGGGCGAATCTCCCAGAATCGTCATGAGCTGATCGATTGTACTCACGGTAGCTATTCGTACGTCACGAGTAAACAGAAAATATGCGCACATAAGATGTGGAAAACCATATACAGCATTATTGATATGTACTGCCATGTTAGCAATGGTATGCCAATCAGCCTGGTTAGTTGAATTAATAAATTGTGGGGCTACGAGACCAATATTAACAAGATCACCTAGAAGTACAGCATCGATTTCGACAATATCATATCCAGTTCCATCAGCCATGAGCCATTTAGAAAGTAAATCTAGATCGTAGAAATTATCATTAATACTAAGTGGGCGCAGTTGAAGGGCAATATCAGGATACACTTTATTAAACTCATCTGTAATGAATTGAAGTAGACCTGTATTGTTGTCATCACCTGCGTCAGGTATAAATGGATATAGAGCTACTTTAAGTGTAATCTTGTTCATTGTGCTTGTGTCTTTACTTGATATCGTATTTGAGGACGATTCCGACACCAACACATTGATTTGAAACACAAAAAGAATCAGCCATATAGAAATAACTTCTCTGACGTGCATTATTAAGTATTAGAAGAGAAAATAAGGTATGAAGAGAACAAAAATTATGAAAGGCTTGTGTGACTCGTTATCAAAAACAAATACGAGAGCTTACTGTCACATGAGTGAGACTGATGCAAGAATTAAAAACCACGTTTCTAATAATACGATATGTTGAAGTACTTGAAACAGTCTGTTCTGATTATAAAAAGTATTCTCGTAACTGATTGTATGTGCATGGTTCTTGTGTTGTCGAGAATTTTAATGATAAATAGACCACACCTGTTCTGGTCTCGATTTATTTTACTGAATAATACCATTCAACTTTATCACTTTAACGTAAGAAAGCATTACGAAGGTAATGAAGGATCGCGAGTTTAAAACAATAAATCTAATGACGACACGTTGCAATCTGGCAGAAATAAAAGTTTTATCATGCACCTTGTTTCTTTTCTTTTCATTTTTTTATCTACTTCCCCTTGTTAGAAATCATGAAAGAATAAGAATAAACTTTGATAGGAAGAAAATAAAAGATATTTCTAATTTCACACGATTTCCATACGACCAGATTTTCTATAGACAACTATTGTAGTTAAAATTAACACCGAAACTTTCCATAACATTATTCATTATTGACGTGTACGTTTATTCGATGATAGATTTATTCTTCAGTGGCTACCATCGAACTATCAATACTGCTTGCTTTAGAATAAAGATAATCAAGTAGTAAAAAAATTAACTCAAGCAATTATGTAACATTTTGCAAATTTATCTGTATCCATTGAATTCAAGGGACTCGAATAATTCAATGATTAGTAAACTCATATATTTCATAATTAGCACAACGAGTTCTACATACAAAACAACTTTCTGGTAGCGATGTACTTTTTGTCATTGACTATCCATGAAAATATTCATCTACAATACGATTCGTAATCCTTTTGTCGTTGGTAGGTATCATCTTTGATAAAATGTTCAAATATTGCTAAAAGAATATCAAAGTTTTTTGGCCTGAATCAAATTTGTCTCATTAATCCTCGTAAAGAGCTCTATTTTTGTGAAATAGTTGAAACACTTGGAAATGCTTAACATTATGAATTCTCATTAAAATATGATACTCAATATTCATCAAAATACGCTTTTTATAAGAATTAAGGAGAGGTAGTATGACCAAAAATTCGAATGATGCTTCAGTTCGGATCGAAAATTCACCGGATTTTTGGATGGGACCAAAAAATCTTGTAACCCCATTTTTAGTAGTTAGTCCAGTATGAATATTGTATCTAATCTTATTTTCAATAGAATTTCTACTGCATACGGTATTTTGAGTACTATCGATTATGAGAAAGAAAATCTTCATAAGATGGTTGTTTACAGGTTTTGAAACCACTGAATATGTGTTCAATGATCCGGATTAGTCATCAAGATAGTAAACCAATTTATTCGATAAATAAAATCAAGCAAAAGTATTATAATTAAATTTTTCATGCGCTGTGTTTAATATTATTGTTATTGTATCCACCAACATCAAAAATCGAGAGGAAATTTTTTTCTTAGAGTTTTAGCAAAAGACATGAGATAATCTTTTCTTTTCAGAAATCTTTCCTAAAAGACAGAAATCTCACTTAATCAATTTATCTTTTTTTTCTCATAAAATCTAGCAGATGGTTGATTTGTCTTCGGTTGAATAACTACATCAACCTTTTCCAGACGAAAATATATTTCCAAGCAAATAATTATTTCGACATTTAATCTAACTGGTTTTTCTGTCACTATTCTGATTGAACATTGCATTATCGATTAGGAATTTATTCATCATGAAAAATTAGCCATTTTCTCCTGTCTCCAACTTTGTTTCTATGGTTCATCAGCGACAAAAAAAAGTTATAGCTCTCATCTAGGTTGATTATCCAAATTTGAATAATCTTCCATAAATATATCCATTTGCTAACCACTGATATTGAGTAATAGTAATAACGATGAAATGCAATTCTATGCTGAAACATGTTTTTCAAATTGGTCTGGTATGTATTCGTCTATCGCACTGAGAAAGAATACCATCGAAACATCATTCAACCAAATAAAGTCAAATAGGGGCAAAATCTAAAGAAAGATCTATAAACAAAAATTAATAAAGACTTGCAATACGACTAATTACTCAATTAGAAATGTAGCTATATGATATTCTCAAAAAGCTGACAAAGGATTGCAGAACATCTGTTTTAAATTTGAAAATGTTAGATTCGATGCCATAAAAATTTTCCAATATAAACACCACAACCTTGAATTGTTAACGTTCATAATAAGGCAACTGTCGGGATGATTGAGAAATATATGATGCTTTTTAGCTATTGAACAGCATGCAAGATTGTATATCTATGCAAGACGGGAGTTTTACAGTATTTATGGTTTATTTTATTTCTATTGAAAGTGAGTGTAATAATACATAAATAGATACATACAACGATGATTTTTACCAGTTCGATAAAAATCTTCCAAATCCGAGTTGTATTTAAATTGTATGAGAGGTGATTGTTTGTTTCTCTGTACTCACTTCAATCAACTCTATATGAACGGACGGACAAAATTGATTTATCCATTCACGAGCAAACTTGACTAGAATTCAATATTTATGATGTAATAGTTCAACAAAGTCATTGTGGACGGCGAAGAAAACATGTATAATGATTGAACTTTATTGACACGCAGCTATTTCTGCTTTTGGGTATTATGAAAATTCAACATTACAGCACGCATGAATAATTCAATTGTTAAGATTGTTGATCTACCTGATGAAATTTTGGTTATGTACTATTTTCAAAAAACTACATAATTTTGATGTATTATATTCACTTGTGGGTGTCAATAAAAAAACTCAATAACGTGGCATGTGATGTTACTTTCACTCGATCTATTGAGCTAACGACGATATCATTTGATAAAGCCGATGATTCAAGAATTAATGCTATACTTGATCGATTTTGTATGGACATATTATCTCGAATTCAAAAGAGAATGAAATGTCTTACTATTCAAGCATGTTTCTTACAACGTGCTTATTATGCTAGCGATTATCTTAACTTACGCAGCATTACTATCGTCAATCTCGAACTCAAAATGGCTCCTAGTATTTTCCTAGTATGTCACTTGATCACTCGATATTTAATGAATAGGAAAATTTCTTATGCTTGTTGTATATTTTTAGAAAAGTCATCATTTATTCACGCCTTCAAAGACCAAATAACACATAAGTGTGAAAATTAGTGACGAAACTCGGAATGAATTGAGGCTGAAATTACTAATTGATATTTATAATTGTATTTTCGCCTTGACAGCAAACCTAAAATATTTGGATTTGAGTGTCAAGGACAACTATTTCTTTCGACGACCATTACTCAGCGGTTTACCTTCTACTACATTTTCTTCGTTCAGTATTGTTCATCTAAATATTAAAATGAACGATTTTGACGATTGTCGTTATCTACTTGATGGTCGTCTGACTCAATTACATACATTTATTGCCAATATCATTGTCTATTTTCTGTTAGTTTTTTCAAACAGAAGAGAAATGAGAAAAAAAGATTTAGTGATGATCTTTGTAGTATAAAGATACTCTTTCTGATGGTGTATCGGGATTTACATTTACTCTTGATATTTGTACCGAATGAAGCTTTTTCTGAAGAAGTCTAAGTAATTTGATCGATTTACAACGATAAAATATATTTTTTCAATTGTTTTCCATCGGTTTAAATTTTACGATGAAACATACTTCCACGAAGTATCGAAAAAAAGAATTCAGTTCATGGATGATTTTTGGAGATGGCGGCTGATATTCTGGTACACTGTTGAATCATGCAAAAGCTTCATGTTGCAAACTATTTCGAAATATGAGTCAAAAATAGATCCAAAAATTTTTTGCCAAAGTTGATATCAATAGAGCTTTTGACACGCTACATTTTCGGGTCTGTTTTATTCAAATTTGATTGATTTACCTAGAGAAATACAGATTTTTCAAGTTGCATAAATGGTGCAAGACTTTTTTCTAAAGAGGTGTTGGTTTGTGACTTTTCATCTGTTCCAGATTCGTTCTGGAAAAATATGTCTCATACAAAATTGGTAGTTCAGACATTGCTCTTTTCAACAGAAAAAATTTCGTTGCTTTGCAAATGACTAAGACGATCTAACAGAGTTTGATATTTTCGCATCGCATGTGATGTATGTCACTCATTTATATGTTTGTGATTACTTTTGAGTCATTTTTCAATATTTAGATGTTTGGATATTAGTTGTTGCATTTTAAAATCCTTCAGACAATCCAAAAAAAGAGTAGCTATTTTTGAAATCATTTATACAAATTAGATAAAAAATAATTTCTATGAATATTAATATATTTCAGCGATTTTCAGTTATTCTAATGTAACAATCTGATCGTTTCAGAAATTATGGGAATATTTCTGATCTAGGAGTCTTTTACTTAATAATAGAGAAGTGACTAATAGACTAGAAGATTAATTGATGAAAAAGAAATCAGTCTCGGTCTTGAATACAATTTTGATTTTATAATCTGAGATATTACATCGAGAAGCATCTAATTGATTCAATCTATCATTGAGTAAAAGATTAGCGTGGTTTTACTGAGTATTTTTTCTATTTTGACTTTTTTTTATAGAGTAATCTACTTAAACTCAAGTGTTTTCGCTGTATGCATATCTTCCAACAACTGAATTTGACAACGAAGTTGTGCCGTTTCTTCGTCGAATGTCACATTTGGAGAAGCTCACATTATCTCTTGGTGTTCGTGGTCGAAGTGCGTTCATTGATGGAATTCACTTGGATAACTGTACACTTAGTCGATTGCCACATCTGCATACATTTGTCTTCGACATCATTACCGACTTTGTCAGGAGCACCGGACACTTCGAAGCATCTGCTGATCATATTCGGCGCACGTTCATTCAAAGAGGGCATCATGCTAATTGCTATATCGACTATCATCATAGTAATATGCGCCGATGTCATGCTTATTCTGTTCCATTGAAAATGGAATGTATGTCATATTTCGCTCGGTTTTCCTGGTGGTGCGTTCATAAATGTTCGCATTCTGAGTATGGCCGATGACTCTCATCCTTTCGAACATAATTTCTTTGCTCAGATTTCACGCTCATTTTCATTACTTAGTCGTCTGATTCTTACAAATACAACACCACAAAAGGAGAAACAGTCACACCAGTTAGTGAAGCTTGAAGAAGTATCCTCAGTTATTGAGTATTCTCGTCTCGCCGAACTTGACTGTATCCATGTACATATCGATTATGTGGAACAGTTTCTTTCTAACGTCAATACATGTCTACCTTGCCTTCGCAAACTTCATGCTCAATATGAACACTTAGTAACTGTCACAGAAAATTTTACAAGAAATACAACACGTATGAATTGTGTGAAATTGAAGCATATTACATCTGATGATAACGTGGCAATGGCGCGTTCGAAAGACTTCTATCTCTATTTTCCTTTACTGTAAATAATGTTCTCATAGAGTGTAATTATTAGATTTGTTTTAGTATATCAATAAAGCAAACTCAGAATAGCTATTTCTTAAAAATATTCCTATGAATAAACCGAATGCCTATTGTTCTATTCACATTGACTGAAAAATAAGTAGGCCGGATTTATAAAGTCGTTTGTTGTTTTGATGTTGCTTTTTTCTAATTCTTTAAATCAATACTGTTTTAATTGAAAAGCTATCAGTTTTCTAAATTTTATACGGACGAAAAATTTAAAAAGAAAATAAAATCGAGAATTTTAAAAATCAAACATTACCTATAAAGTTAACACAATATCAAATTTTTGAAAATTAGTGTTAGAAAGTGTCACAAGCAGAACAAAAATGACTAGCTCAGTCAATCAAGAAAAAGCGCTCTCTTTTTTATTTCAATATTCATAAAATAGTTATTGTATGCCTTGGCTCATAAGAAATATAATCTCGCAGTTTTACTTATGTCTTAGTCTTGATTTAGCTCATATATTTAATCAAAATACTTTCTTTAATATTTTCAAAAGAGTCTGCTTGACTCAAGACGTATGTTGGATATTCAATGAACAAGTAAGAGCATCCCTATTTTTTCTTCTTGCTGATGATATTGAGATAAACAAAATGCTTCATCAGGTGAGCCGTGGAAATATGTTGCAAAGCGAAACATCATGTCATAGTCACAGCATTTTTTCACGTAATTTGCTCTTTAAGTCTATGGTTCTCACTTCAATGTTATCTTGTACATTCCTTGGCTCTCTCTTTCTTATTCTTCTTATGTGCTGATCATAATCAATTGGCAAAAAATACATTTAGAATTAGCTATGTTTAACAACCAAACATACGTCTAGCACAAAAGAGAATTGACATTGTGAAAAGGAAATAAGTCATTTATATGTCCAGCTTTTATTCCACGATATTTTTGTCTAGATATATATAAATGGGCGAGCAAAACTCGAGGTGAATGCAACCAATGCTCCAAAAATTATGGAAAAATTATTATTTCCTTTTCTTTATACTGTACAAAGATGTTTAATAACAAAATCATTTTCTCAATCATTATAGTTCGAAAAAAGCTATGAAAGATTTGACGAAGCTCGAAACCAAAAGCATGAGCACCACCTTATCTCCTAAATCTGCCGATGGTCGAGAATCGAACTATTGTTATATAAAAGAGAGCCAGGACGATTATGGCAAGTATTTTATAAGCTTCACAGTTTCTTAGAAGAGGATTCGCCAGAAAATTGACAAGGGAAAAGGTACTTGACTGGAGAAGAAGCCTTGATTTTAAATTAATAATACAACATACAAATTCATATTTAGATTCCTAAATGATCTACTCGGCTATATATATACTATAAATCAGGTAATGGGTAGATGAACTCGTTCGAGAAAAATATCAATTTTAAATAACTTGTAAAATTTGAATCATGCGCAATCGATTTGAGTCGTTGGTCAATCCCTATTAAAGAATAGAGTACTTCGACAGTACACAATTTTGTCAAAACAATCATAAGAATCTCATCTGGTAAACCATTAATTCAATCGATAAACGTTTCATATTTATTGATGCTTCATTCTATGTGCCTTTGGACGTACAGACGTGAATATTTATATATGGTCATTTCATTGTTTTTGTTGGCCGATGTCGTCTATGATCTACCAATGGGAATAATGGTACTTCTTTTTTTCTAGTCTAAATCACAATGAACAAATAATTGAATAAATGAAATTATTTCGCTCTCTGTCATTGTCGTTCTAAATATCTGATATCATGCACATTTATAACTATTAAGTACTATTTTTTATCCTATTAAGAGAATTATGTTTGATCAGGCCAACAAAGAGTTTTGCTTTAATATTTCATGTTCATAGACTGTAGATTTATGCAAAGATATTATGCATTTTTTTTTGTTAGGATAGATTGATGAAGGTTATTTACCTTTGTCTGCACTGTTGATATAACTAATCAGAAAATATGAATTGATCGCAACTATTTATTGAAATAACTATCGTTACTTGTCACAAATATCATGGACTTCTTTCTTCAGCCTATACATTCTAGAAACATCTTGACTGACATAGTAGTGCCTTGAGAGTGACACATTTGTAATTTGAATAACTATCAGTAATAGTCATCTTGTAGTTATTTACATTGTATGGTCTTATTTTAGTCATTTTGTTATACGTGTCATTAAATTAACGAAGAAAATTTTATTGTTGCAATAGTATCGTTTGATTCTTGAATAGTTAACAGAAGGGTGTAGATGTGGGTGTGCATTGGAAAAAAAATAGCACCACATGGAACCAAAAAGTTTGGACCTTGGTGAGAAATTCATAAAAGGCTTCGCATTTACTCACTGAACTTGAAAATGACTTGACAGATAATACAAAACTTAACAAGTATTTCGAACTTTGAACTGAATTCTGAACCTTTTTTAGATTTCTTAGGTTTTTACGAAATCTTTTTGAAGGTTTCGAATTCGTTTCAAAAATGTTTCCGTATGATGCTATTTTCTTTAGACTGAAAAAATAGGATTTAAAAATCGTAATTCACCTGTCTCTGTCTATCCGTGTGTCTGTCTGTCTGTATGTCTGTCTGTAACGTTGGCACAAATGATCATTTTCATGGCACAAAACATAGACGGATGCGGGACAAGTCAATCGAAATTTCTGAACTGTGTCGTTTTGTTGCTAGGTAAGGCTCAGTCACCCGCCGTCTGAAGGATCTGTGAGTCCGCTTCATAATGACGTGAATTTTCAAACAAGTATTTTATTGGCTATGAAGACGGAGTCCTCTCTAGCCTTGGCCATCTGTCTTTTTCACATTGCGTGCTTTTATTTTTGTGCTTTTACTTGTAGTTTTATCATTTTCGTGTAATTCGTACCTCAGATTCACTTATTGTCACCTCTATTACACGTCTTCCTTCAAATTATCCGCTGTTTTCTTCAGAAATTTAAGCACACACTCTTGGCGCACACAACCCATTTTCTGCCCTGTCTGTGCAATTCCCCTGCTGAGCACTGCCAGTCTAGGACCCAGTGAATCGACTCTCGATGTTGATGAACGTTACTTGTTTTTCAGTGTGGAGTGCGGATGTGATTATGCAACATAAAGATTTCATATTCAACACCATCACACACCCAAAGCCACGCACTCACACCCGCACCCTCACACGCCCATAGCCATACACTCACACCCCGCACACACACACACACACACACACACACACACATTAGTACAATAGATTTAGTTGATTTTGGTCCTGAACCTGCTGTTGTTGTACGCTGAGTATTTATTGTATTTTTTACATGATGATTTTGCATTGTATGCTCTTCGTTGTCAATCGTCATAGGATTTGATGTATTCATCATATTCATTTCTATTCTGTAATGAATAATATGTAAAACTTCGTTGATGATTTACATCTATAAAAGACGTACGAAATATTAATGAGAATTTCAATGATATGACTATTTACCATCAATTTCGTCTTCTTTTACAGTTAGCGGACGTGCTGAATTTGTATGATGTGCGCTTGGTGCTCTACTTTTTAATGTTGAACGTTTCAGATAGGGTATGAAGCCTTGAAAATTTTCAGCTTGTGAAGTTCGTATAGGGGTTGGACTTGGTGTTCGAATTCTTGATCGTCTCAGATAGGGTACAAAACCTGAAAAATGTTCAGCTTGTGTCGGTGATGTACTACGTTTATAACTTGTTGTTTGTACAGGAGGTGCACATGACTTTCGCACTTTTGATCTCGGCCGTCTTAGATAGGGTACATAGTCTGACGACTTTTCAGTTTGTATTGGTGGCGTGGTATTGGGCTTATAACCTTTTGATCTTATGGACGGTGAATGATATGGACTTGGTGATCGAGGTTGGTCAAATGAAATAGCAGTCTCATTTGGAGGAGTTGGTGTACGTACATGTTGTAAATGAGTAGTAGGTATTGGCTCTGGAACTGTTCGATACAATTCAGCTGCTGGTGGTGGTGGTGGTGGTCTTGATGATGATTCTGATCCAATTGGTCGCCGAATCACATAAACTGATTTATTCTAGAATATATATAATTTCTTTTATGTAAAATGAAGGTTCCATTGATTAAATAAAACGCTTACACCGTCGGTAATCACTGGAGGATTTTCATCAGACTTAGATCTTCCGAGTTCGCCTAAATCTACAGATCCTTGTACACTTTGAGGATTTTTTGTATTACGTACAACAACAACACGTCGTGCTGGAGTTACGGCTTCTGTACGTGGTGTTGTCATATCAGTTGATTGTGCAGTTCGTGATGAAACATAACTTCCAGACTCATTCGTTGGAATAAACTATACATCAGAATCTTTATTAGGTGAGCAAAAGACAAAATACTCACTATCAGCAACAGTATTCCTTGCCGCCATTCACGAGGACAAATGCATACATACACCTATCCAAACAATGTTTCGTTGGTTGCCACTCACTTCAATGTCGCCATGCACACATTTCATTAATGCCATTTTCTTGATCGTATAATGTCGTTCGTAATTCATATTTATACACGAACGACAGTATGCACAGCAATGATTTTGTTTTTTAATAAAACAGAAAAAAAAAATCTTCTTTTCTGTTCATCATGCGAACGAAAAGCACAGTACATTTTTATTTTATTCTAATAAAATATTTTCAATCAGATTAATTTAATTTTTACATATTAATTTCTCATTCAACAATAAAAAGAATGAAGTTTATGTAATATTTAGAATGCTCGTTGATAATAGCGTAAAAATGGCAATTGGAAAACAAAAGAATTTTCAGGGTATGGGTGCAGGTGTGGAGAGAAGGAGTACCCACACCCAATAATGTTTCATTTGTTCTTGTAAATTTGTTTCCACATGTGTCTGAATTTGCTCTCGCCGTCTTAAATAATCTTTGTTCTATGACATCGGATCTTATATCAATCATGCATGATATATCAACTATTGATTTTTCTGGGTGGACTACAGAGTCAATTTGTATTTTTACCACTGCACAATTCATATCTTTGATAAAAACAAAATCAGAAGGTTGTAAAATTTTCCTTTTTGATGAAAGCAATCATAAAACTAATAGTGATCAACAACGATTCGTAAATATTGGCGAATTAACATGTTGATTAGCTGATGAAATCATTCAAAATTATCGTCGCATATCTGATGAATATATTAAAAATAATAATTCGACTAAAGCAGACGAACAAACGAAACAAATAAATCGCATTTATGCTAAATTAAGATAATTAAATGAGAGATTTTCAACGAGTACATCTATTTTGAAGAAAAACTTTGACAGTGTTGAAACACAATTAATTTGTTTAACATCAAATACAAAAAATGATGAAGAAGATGTGAAATGTTAAATATATTTATCGTTATGGCGAATCAAAAAATAAAGATAACAAATTAATATCAAATCGAAATGATCTTCGTTATCGCTTAGCATCTGATCTGATGGATCAGTATGCAAAATTAGGCGAATAATATCGAACTAATAAACAATCGAAGTTAGCTCGAAAAATGTTTGAGACAGCACGAAACGTGTGTATTTTTTATCAGAAAAGTTTTTTTTCGAACATAAAAACCTGTTTTCTATATCATTTTTCTAGATGAGAACTACTGACGATATAAACTTTGATAGAAACTATTTACACCCAACCATTCGATTTTTATTACTTGATGATCTTACTACGAATCGAGTCAGTCCTACACCAGTTATAGCATTGCCAAATGCACTGCTAATGACATTTGTAGATGTGTACAATAATCTACTGCGATGCCAGCTGTATATAAGTAATGAAAATCGGAAAATGATAAAATTATGTATTTCCAACAGAAATATGATGGATTGGGATAATTTAAATAATGAAATACATTTTAATTAATATAAATTAAGTGTATATTTTTTGTGATACATTTTATGATTATATACTCATACAAAAATGGAATGGATGTTATCAGGATACAATCCGTGATGTCTATTTACCAGATCAAGTTAATCATAGGCTATTAAGACTTGGTAGCGATTATATATATATTCAATATTACCCGACTTCTAAGAAGATCGAGGATTGAGCAGAATATTCCGTGCTGATGCAAGACGGTTCCTAGAAGTCTTAGAAGAATATTTTCAAAATCAAACGGATAATGAAGATGACGATGGTTAAAGTCAACATCAAAAATAGTTAAACGTCTCCTTTTCTGAGTAGATGTCTAATTCGAGTCCGAAAATAAATGGAAAAAACGCCACTCCCATGTTATTTTAGCAAAAAAAGCAAGTTTCTATCATAGAAACAAATATTTGGGAACTTCTGATGCAAGAATGTTTCGATGAAAATATAGCATATACATGTGGTTGGTCAATGTTCTATAACTGTGAATGCTATATTTTATATTTTGAGTGAACGTCTTGAATATTGAAAAACTGCGTGTAATCAAGTGAATAAGAAAAATAAAACTTCTTTTTAATTAAAAATGAAAACATTTGTTTTTCTTCATAGGTTTGTTGCAAAGATTTATGGTGCTTAGCAAAAAGCTGCATGTTGTGGTAAACCAGAAAAAATGCAATTATTTATACTCCGGTCGAAGAAAACGATCAGTAAACGGTCGTATACAATACAAATACGGCCCGTTTTACGTGCCGTATTTCCCCGTATAACAGGGGCAGTAATACCACCGTATGTTCTATATAATACGATAAGATTACGCCGGCGTTACGGCTGATATACGGTGTCCGTGTATGGCCGTAATACTGCCTCTGTTAAAACGCCTTAATTCGGCTTAAAACGGCCGTTTTACGACGGAAATTTGATTTTCCTCTATTGCAGATTCATATATTTTAGGATGTCAGTGGGTGCAGTAGTGGGACTCGAACTTTTGCCACTCATAACTAGTTCGTCAATTATTGTTTTTGATCTTTTTCTTTTTTAAATCACTCACGTGACTCCCATGGAGTGATAGTGTTAAAAAGCTTATCTGAAGGAAATACTGCAATATAATATCTTGTATTCAAAGGATAATACTAATCGAAAGAAAACTTCGAAAAAATCTACATTGACGAGGAAGCCAGTGCTGATTTTGCAACCGTAGATTATTCGAGATTTTTCTCAAAAATTCGGAAAAACTATCGGCTGCAATTGCCTTTATTTATGATTGTATGATGATATAGTCTGACGAGTAAGCATTCTAATAAATCGCGACAAAATCTTCGATTTTTATTTCGGACGATGTTGAGAAAAAAATGAGAACATTTCTGCGTTTTAATTCACATGTTTATTTGTGCTTTTGTCCAAATCGAATGTAGAACAAAAGTGATAATTCGTTTACCTCGTAGTTTATTTAATGAAAATAAATGTGAAATGAAAACACTTCGAAAAGAGCAGTACTTATTTGATGATTCTAAGAACTTTTCCAATAGAAACAGGTTTGTTCATATGAAACAATGCAAATCGATCAAGTCGAGAATAATGCTTAAATTCTTCCATACAAATAACTTGTTCTGGTTGTGCTAATTCAAACTGAGCAATTGCAACTTGATCGTGGTCTATAAATCTTGGATTTTTTTCTAATTGTTGCACCTGTTTGAGGATCTATTAATCTCAAAATTGTTTTTAAATGAACTTGAGCAACAGCAGCATGAATATAAACAATAAATGAATATCCTTGAAAAATCTTCGATCGTTGTGTAATTATTGTCACCTGATTTTCAATATATAAATACCCAGGTCGAGCATTACGGCTACCAGGAACGGTCGTATACGGCCGTAAACGTTAACGTATACTGTCGTTTCTCACCGTCAACGGCCGTAACTTGACGTTTTGGTATGCACCGTATTACGGCCGTAATTAATCGTGTCGTCAACGGCTACTAGCGACCGTAATGTGGTCGGATATTTCCGTATCCGATCGTTTATGGCACGATACAAAACGACCGTAATACGGTGCATACCAAACGGCCGTAAATTATGGTCAAACGACCGTGTACGACACAAGTTGATTGACCTGGGTATAGATTGCAATTATTTATTTATTTTACGCCTGATTCAAAGAGTCTGTTAGCGTCATAGATAGCGTTATAACTACCGTCTCCAATGAGAATTGTCATTATTATTATAGCGCAATAGACTTATCACGTGCATTATATATGTATCATCTTTTCATGTTTGTTTTTCTTCTTCTATTCTATTCTGTTTACATCACTATTCTGCTCGTGTTGTGAAAATAAAATCGCTCAACACTTATCTACGTCATTGAACCATAATATAAAAGTACGTCCTTTTTAAACATACACCGTTTATAAAGACCTTACACGGCTGGTATAAATAGTGATGTGGAGACGCAATGGTGTGATCAGTATGAAATCTTTTTTTTTGTATTTTTACAGGCAATTATTTTTATAGAACTTCTTTTCTTTAGGTAATCTGGTGAAGTTCAGTTTTTCCGTATATTACGTTGACTATAAGGTGATTTTCGCTGCTCAAATCGTGTGTGTTTTATTTTGGCTATTACTTTTGTTTTCACACGTTTCTGGTTATTGCAAATTACAAGAAATCTACTGATATATGTCGTCACGTGCTAAAAGACCAACATTACGTGATTTTTTTATTGGTTCATGCACAAATACGAACCCGTCTGTGTACAGACAGCGAAAGATTCGATCCATGTGATCAATTAGTACAATAAACACACTGAAGTGTGGGGACTTGCTTCTTCCACAGTTAGCTAACATCCCTAGAATCACTCCTGGTTTTAGGTGAAAACTCTGCAGCCATTGGAAGCTGGGTATGTGATACCTATTTTGACCTTACTTCTTAGGGCTATCAGTGAATGTGATTAGGATCGATTTGACTGTGTACACGGAGACGTTTTTTGGTCGCGACACTTAAATAAAGGTGTGTGTAATGTGACAGAAGTCAAAGTGTGGATTTTGACAACATGTAGCAGTTATCCTTTACTAATCAGTTTCCTTATTCTGTTAGACGAATCTCTGGAGTGTTGTTGTTGGTTACACAAAGTTTTACTGATTGATAGGTTCTGGCCTCGCTTAGTCGTCGACCAACCACAGTTAAAAATTTGCACTTTCTGAAACGCCATCCAGCGATGCCTCAATGCGAATTATGAAATTTATATTTGTGACAAATTTTAAACTTTTGCTTTTTTGCTGCAATTAACATGGGTGCAGTCGTTTTTTTACTGACACTCGAAGTGGTAATGATTACTTCATTCTCCATTTATAATCGAATTCGAATTAGGCAACTCATGCTTTTTCTATAGAATTAAATCCAAACTTAATAAATATAACTAAGTATTAGCAGAAGAATTAGTCCATTTTCGTCGACTCCAATTTCACCAAAAAGTGCCCAATAAAATATGATCGAATCTAAATATCGAATTTCATTCTAAATATTTAGTTTATTAGCGAATTGATAAATGTTAGAAATTGTTAAGGGCAATAACTTAAGTAAACATGTACAAATAACAACATT